GCCCTTCGCTAGGCTTCGAGAGGCTTCGCGAATTTTCTATCTATTTTTACTTCTTTGTTTCTGTCCTACTCGTCTTTCGTCTCGTCTGTAATATTTTATTTATATTTATTTGTGCCTTTGTCCTTTTCGTATATATATGTCAGTGTTCGTATTCGTATGCGTGTTTTCCTTATTAATCTCAGGGAAGTATGTGACGATGTAATCGCCACAAGTATGATACCACGAAAATTTCCCCATGTGAGTATAGATCTGGTGATATATATATCGTAACCAAATTACAAAATTCATCGTTTTATAAAATATCTAGATATTTTATTAAATGCGGCCACATTCTCAAATTATGGTATATTGAAAATAAAATGTTTTTCAATCTGGCTAAGAATTTTAGTCTTTTTATAAAAAGAACTCGCTGCATTGTCAAACGCAACGATTGTTTGTACATTTATTTTAGATTCTGATGGCTAATTCACTTTAGTTATTTAATAAACAGCATGACTGATGTTATTTTTAGTAATTTTATAAAAATTTTAATATTTTTATAAATTTTATATATTATAGTACGATCTCTTTTTATAAAATCTAATTAACACATTTATTACATAAGAACGTAGATATTTGAGAATCGCCAGACAGAATATAAAAAAGGTAAAATTCTTCTCTCGACCGTACTGGCAAATATTATTTATTCAATCACAACGTTTCGACCCTTCTTTGAGTCCTTATCAAGTGATCTAGATTTTTGTCTTTGGAATAATAGCGAAAATATCGTCAACGTATCTATAATAAGTCGGAACATTGAAACTAAGTTGACTTAAACAATGTGTTTCAAGATCATCCATCACGCGCATGTCCGCTAAGATGGGTAAGAGAAGAGATCCCATGGGACTGCCAAACATTTGTTCATAATATTGTTCATTAAAGCTAAAACTAGTAGAATCTAAAATAAACATCTTAAAATTATAATTTTATTTTTATTTTTACAAGTATGTTTTGCTTCTTTTTCTTTTTATCATTTTGTAATATTGTTAGTGAAGTAATTTTGTTTTTTTTTATTGTATTAATCTCTGTCTATATATATATCTAGATCACTTGATAAGGACTCAAAGAAGGGTCGAAACGTTGTGATTGAATAAATAATATTTGCCAGTACGGTCGAGAGAAGAGAATTTTACCTTTTTTAAATATAATATTCTTGCAGAGAAATATTTTTAAAAATATTTTTAGTTTTTAAAGATATAATAAATAATTAAAAAATAAAATAAATAAAGAAGTAAGACATAAAAATGTTTTTGTTTATTTTTTAATTACATTGCACCGGTTGATACAAATAATGAAAACAAAAAATTTCTTTCTAAAAATATATTATTTATGTTACGATCATTGTGTGTATTTTAAATATATGAGAAGATTATGCGTATATATCTAACAATAAATATATGTTGAATATTTATTTCTACGTAACAAATAATGCATATAACATGATATACAACATAATAAAAATTTTTTTAAATTAAAAAACAAAAAAAAATATGACAGCTCAAATTTTGAATCTAAGGGATTTCTTAATTATTATTTTTGTGCTATCCCGCTGCGCTAGTAGCACTGATCAAACATGCATCTTTCTTTAAGTCTTATAACAAACATAAAAATTTCTCTAAATTACAAGAATAAAAAAATATTACAAGGCGCATTAGACGAGAGAGAGAAAATCTCGAACACAGATCAACTTAATTTTAATACAAATTTATCACAAAAAAAGAGATCGGCGAAGAATCAACCACGACCTTTCCTTGATAATATACTTTAAAAAAATTGTAATTTCATTAAATAAAGTTACTTGAAATTTTTAAGACAATCGTTTCTTTATATTTCACAAAATTAAGTTTTTTTTTTGTTGTCGTCAAATATTTTATATATTTTCAAGAATTTTGTTAATTGAAGATCAATAATTGACAAGATAAGACTTCTAATTTCCGGTCAGCAAATGCCAATAAAACATAAAAGAAGAAGAGAAAAATTTTGTATTTTTACTTACCAGAGTTTATCCAAATGTCAAATCTTTCATCAGTCTTCCGTGGAAAACGAAACAATTTACAGTTGTCTGATTTAATATTATTACAGTCTTTGTATGCACGTCTGTCGAATATCGTCATTTTCTTCACATTATTGTTATCCCTTTTGATCCACAAAAAATACCTGCAAGAATCGAAAACAAATCGCCGGCCGCGAACAGAAAACGCCGACAAAGCACATTATCTCCGCGAATTTCTACGAATCTCGTGATTTTATCGAAACTACAATTTTGTTAAAACTGTAGATTCGTAAAATCAGATCACTGCACACACACACGTCACAATATTTTTCAATAATTACGAAAAAAATCACAAGATATTGAAAACTGCAAATAAAAGCACAATGGGAATTCGTTTTGTGACACGGTCGCGATGTGGTCATTCGAGAACACCAGAAGCTTGTGAGCTTACAGCGATGAGTAAAAACAATTGCGTATCTATTTCATTGCATTTATCTGTTTAAACGCGCGCTTTAATTTTTCCAACGTTTTCGCCTCTTTATATTTTAAAGGTCCTCTCTTCTAAAAATCTTGTTTTAAAGATCCTCTTCGCGAGCAAAATTCGAAAACATGGATTATTTAATATTTTTACTTTATTATTTGTAATCCTCGGTAATTTAAAGATTTTTCTATTTGAACATTATTAATTTTCTATTGCCAATTAATTTTATCACAGACTTTATTTTTACTTCCATTGCACTTTTGTTTGCGGTTTTCAGTATACGATTTTTTATCGTAGTTACTGAAAATTATTATTGTGAATTATATTTGTGCAGTGATTTGAAGAATTTACAATTTCGTTGAAATTGTTGATTCTTCAAAAAAATTACGAGATTCGCGGAAATTGCGTGCTTTCTTGGTATTTTCCGTTCGCGGCAGGCGGTTTATTTTTGATTGTTGTAAGTTTTTTTTTTTTATTAAAATAGATAATAATAATGAAAAATAAATCACGATATTTGACAGATGTGCATATATATAGAAATTGTAATAATAATAATATCATATCATAAAATTGTAAATAAATTGTTTCAGTTTTTTATAGACTGCGATAAAAGATTTTACATTTGGATAAGAAACTGCGGTAAGTAAAAATATAAAATTCTTGAAAACATGTACCAAAAATATTGATAACGTAAAAAGGTGAACTTTGTGAAAAATAAAGAACTTAAAAATTGCACTAAGAAATAAATGGGCTATATGTGAGCCGTGCGCGGATGTAAGGTGTGTGTTATATCGAAATTTAATTAATAGAATTGAGAATTAATCCCAATTTTAAGATAGCCTATTTATCTCTTATACTTTATTTTAACCCTTATAGAAATTTATCACTAGTAACACCAATTTATCACTTATTTCGAGTACTTAATCACTTTTATTTTAAATACTTAAATTACTGTATATTAGTATTTTAAGTACTCGAAATAAGTGATTAATTGGCGTTACTAATGATAAATTTCTACAAAGGAATAAGGAGCTTTTAAATTCTTAATGTAAAAAATTTCAAGTAACTTTCTTTAATAAAATTTAATTAAAAATTTTTGAACACCGTGTTATATCACATTTAAAATCGTGATTATTTAAATAAAAAAACATTTCATGTGTAAAAAAAATATATTTTTAATATTTAATGAATTTAATATATATATATATATATATATATATATATATGTGTGTGTGCATATGTAAAATTTTCTCTCTCACACACACACACACACACACACACACAACGGGGGCCAAATCTCTCAAATTGGTGTCATGATCAATTAGCCTGGATTCGCACCAGGGGCAAAGTCTGTTGGTAATATCAAACGAATTTAGCCTGGACTCGCACCAGGAGCAAAGTCTTTTGGTAAAGTCTACGAAATTTAGCACGGACTTGAACCAGGGGCAAATGTGTCGGTAAGGGGCAAAGTCTATCGCACAAAGATGGCGGTCTCTTCTTTAGGCAGGCCTTTGGCGATCTGTCTATTAATCTATGGCAGTAAGCACTACAGTACGAAATGAGATTTGCTCATTTCGTTACTCCCGATGAAATGAGTGAATCCCATTTCGTACTGCTTACTGCTTATTCTTGTACTCTGTACTCCTGCTGCCATTGTAGACCCCGCTTAATAATAATAATAAGAATAAAGATAGAATGATGCTTGTGTCGACTTGTGTTGCTAAATGAAAAGTACCAAATAATTAGAATTAACTAGTTGTGTGTTCTTCGGCTTTGCTGCCTTTGCTGTTCGTTCAATTGAACTTCACCAATAGCAACAAACTGCTGCGGCAGCATGCTGCACATGAAATGGTACCTTTACAGCTTACTACATTCATCTATTGTAGATCCGGCCTTAGGGTGCGATTACATGGACGCGCGGAAACGCGGAAACGCGGAAGAGAAAGTAACTAAACTTTACTAGAGTCCCGCATTTCCGCGCGTTCCGTTCCGTCTGTTTTGATTGCCTTATATTACATGGAGCACATTTTGAGCGGAAAAGCGGAACGGGGAATTATAAAATATTAATATTTAACTATATTTATTGATTAAAATGCTTGTATTCAATAGATAAGTTGAAAAGATGAACATATTAAAAGGAATTACAATGAATTAAGTAAATATAAATTTAAAAAATTAATACAAATGTCTATTTGTCACTATACCGTTCCGCTTTTCCGCTCAAAATGTGCTCCATGTAATATAAGGCAATCAAAACAGACGGAACGGAACGCGCGGAAATGCGGGACTCTAGTAAAGTTTAGTTACTTTCTCTTCCGCGTTTCCGCGTTTCCGCGCGTCCATGTAATCGCACCCTTAGAGATTCCAGGAACTTTATAGAGTCTTCTAGGGATTCTATCACTAATGTACCCATCTACATGCATCCGATATGATTTATGGTCTACTTCGTCGATATAAACAACAGGTACACATCTACGTCGACAATGTTTCCGTGGCATAAATATGTAAATATAGTATGGTCGAAAAGAAGCGGAAGCTCGCACAGTTTCTCGAAACATTACAGCCAAATGCGATTGAGATAAAGTCGTAACATTTTTTCTTGCTCGACGTAGCAACGTGGATTCACAAACTCCCGAGCCGAATGACGTAAACAATCTCCCCCGGGATCTTTCACGGCGTATTTCGACCGGTTTGACAGGAATGTCAATGTTCAGTCGCCAAGTGTTGAGAGAAGGAGCGTGAAGGGGTTCGCGCGCGCGAGAGAGAGAAAGAGACACAGAGGACTAGATGTTATGTTTATATTGCATTATTCGCGAGATCAGGCGAACACACGCGTTCGCTGAACGCGCGGACTGAAAAAAGAAGGTAATCGAGGGTGGGCAGGAAGATGGAATGCGCCGAACGGAAGTATTTATGCACAATTCACTAATACGCGTTGGCTATGCCACGGCAATCGTACGCTACCGCGTGCTTGCACCCTGACATTACATTCGTCGAAGATGTCAAAGTTGTAGGCGGCAACCCTACCATGGACACGGACGTTGAGCTCGGCAAGGCCGAGAGCTGCGAGACGATCCCGGGCTGCTCCGGTTACTCCAGCATGGTGCACAGTAAGAAGGTCATCAAGCATGCTCTACGCCAGCAGGCCAAACGACGTAGGAAGAACACGACGATAGCCGCGGGAAACTCCCGGGCTCTACCCAGAATCGTCGTCAAACCCTTACCTCCGCCACCGCCTTCGAACGATCCACCGTCACCGGTTAATAATGTACAGCACATCAATACTGGTAATTTAATTATGCTACTGCGTCATGCACAGGGCGTTTGTAGCTTGGCTATGTGTTCCTGGGACTGTTCCGAGGAGGAAGAATGGCTTCCGATTGGAAAAGATTATTTTTTAATTTTATTAATGTTATATGTTTCTTTATTGAATCAAATTAGGATTTATTTTTATCTGAATTTATTCAGAATTGTAATATAAATGTAAGATTTAAATTCAGAATTAAAATTCTGATGATAACAATGTTAATTCTGATAATTACAACTTTGTTTTAAGGATTACGGCTTTAAGGATTGTTTTAAGGATTATGTTCTGAATTAAGTTTGTGAATATTTTTTTAAAATAAACTGATAATTAAATTGGAAATATTGACAGACTAAAATTATTATTTGGGATTTATAATTTTATGGAGGAATTATAGTTTGGATATTTACATTGACTTTGGACATTTTTACTTGAAATAATCCCAAGAACACACACATAGTCAAGATATGGATATTTTATTATAAGACATCCTGTAATGCTTTATCTTTATTTTTGAAAATTTATTTGCTATACTATAGAATATACTTCTTTTTAGCATTATAAAGATTATTTTGGGACACAAGCATGTTTTAATTGTATATAAATTGCTACTTTTTTCTTTAATTAATTATGTTTGTCGCATGATCTATTTATTGAAATTTTATAGATATTAAATAGAAATAGAAATAAAAAAATGAAAAGAAAAGAATATCATAGAGTAACTTTGGTTTATATATATGATTTATAATCAATAATCAATTATAATCAATGTTATATTTAAAAAGATGCATTTTTAACTTAAATAATATGATCCAACATAATATTTTTAGAAATATTAATAGAAAAAAGCTCGAATAATATTTGATAAAAATATATTTCCATTTTTATTTTATTTATTACATATGTACATTGGAATATAATAATAACAATACTGAGATATGAGAGTTAATTAACAGTTATCATAAAAAAAAGTTTATTTCATTTTCTTTATATTTTACATATAAAATATATATAATTTTAGTACAAAATTTTATTTATAATAGTTGTGTGATATTCTTGAAAAGTGAATAATTCTAATAAAATTTATATTTTATGTGACTACAGCAACGGAAGAACCTGCTGCCACAATGAGAGAAGTTCTGGCTAGTTTACCCGGATTCAGCTTGAAGTCAAGCCGCAGACGATCTACAAAGAGATTGTCAGCGACTGCACAACTGGAAGCAGGCCTGGTGGATCTAGAATCTCCAGCGAGCATCTTAGCTAGTACGAGCTTACGTGCTCTGTTAAATAGGCATACATTTCAAGGCTTACCTCCGCTGTATCAACGGAAGCTTGCGCAACTCTTGCCTGCTGTAGATAGACAGGTACTTCCTCAAGTCTCTATTTTTATTTAGAAATTTTTCCAGTACCTCTGATCGAAAAATCAATAAAGATTCATCCTTGTTATTCCGTAGGACGCTGCGATCTCCGGGCTGAACAATGAATTCTTCGCAAGAGCTTGCTTGGAATGGCGGAAACGTTTGGCGGAGGGAGAATTCACTCCAGAGAATCAGCAGCGCCTGAAGATGGAAGCTGAACGGGACAAAAACAAGCTGGATCCTTGGAAGGTGAAACACTTGAGCCGATATGGGGCGAGAAACGGGAGCCTAAGCTTAAATCGAGCCTGCACTACATCACCGAGTCGCGTTCCAGCGGCGCAGTGACGCGTTCGAGTTTGAGACTTCGTTTGGAGTCCAACGTAGACATCCCCGCGTCGGAGCACGTCTATCCGGTCATGATGATGGAGGAGAAGGTCGACGCCGGTTGCAAGACCGAAATCGGCATAAAGACTCCTGACAATCTGACTAATTCCGAGGAGGTACAGGAGAATCTAATCACCCTGGATTACAACGCATTGGACAATTTGACGGACGAAAAGCACCTGGACGATTCCATGCAAGCAAATCCTTCGGAGATAACGGAGGAGATTCAGATACGCGACAGCAAGACGGAAGAAGAAACGACCGCGAAGAAGATCGAGGATATCTGCGAAAAGCAGGATCTAATTGAAACCGATGACATCACCAGGCAGCTCTGCCAAGACACGGAGGACATCGCGAACGTCTACGAGGAAGAGGCGGACAATTTGCAACCCGCGGAGAAGAGTGTGATCGAAACGCTGGAAGAGGAGGCTGTGCTGCTGCCGGATGGCAATTCGTCGTCGTCGCCTGGATCCAACGAGCAAGTGGAGCACGCGTCCGGGGAATCGATCTCGCAGTTGTCCAACGAGTACATTTCGCAGACATCCATAGATCAGATAGAGCAGATCTCGAAGGAGCAGATCTCGCAGATATCCAATGAGCAGATCTACCAGATATCGGATTGCGAGACCGCCGCGAGTATACTCGAGAGCTCGTCGCCCAAGGATAATCAAGTTAGACCCGCGGATATCGTTATGGAGGACGCTGGTCTGATGAGCGACAATCAAGCGGAAGCGGCGCACGAGAATCCGGCGGACAGCGAGTCGCAAATTCCGGAAGGAATGGAAATTGATAGCGAGACCTTGCAGCGTATTCACGAACTCGAGGTAGACAAAAGTTTTAATACACGTATTTGGGCATTTTATTTGATTTGAATCCATGGGACACGTATTTGTGATGCAATAAATCCAATTTTATTTTTAAAGTTTGTTAAAATTATAAATAAAAATATTTGAATCCACGGGATACATATTTGTGATACAATAGATCCATTTTATTTTTAAAGTATTTGTTAAAATTATGATTTAAAAAAATAGGTTTGCTTAACTTTTGATCAACAAATTTAAAATTTTTAAAAAAATAAGCTTAAATAAATTAAAAAACATTGCATTTAAGAAGAAATGTTTTGAACAAGTTATTTAGTTTTGAAGGGGAAGATGATAATCTTGAATTTTAACTAACGTTATTTTTCAAATTTATTTGAAGGTCAGTCTAATTTTTTGAAACGAAATCGCCATAAGTTTTTTTTTATATAAATCGGTTCCTTCTAATATTTAGCATAAAAAGTTACGAGAGTAAAATGGCTAAAAAGTGAATAATTTATGAAATATTTTATACTTTGATATTATTTTGCATAAACTATAAAATATTTTGTAAAATATTCATTTTGCGGTGATTTTACTTCAATATTTTTATGTACACAAAATAATGAGAGGACTTGGATTTATATATATCCTAGATAGTAAGCGTACGTCATTTTGACGTCGACTGATGTCATTTGACATTGAATGACGTCGTTAGACGTCAAATGACAAGAGTTTGTTACTTTGGTATAATTCTTTTATATAATTTATAGAAAAAAATATAAATTTATTTGTGATTGTATATAAAAATAAGTCAATATTATTAAATATAATTTTCTGACCTGAGAAGAATTCAAAAAGTTCCATCATTTGTTTCAAATTTTACCCGGCGCCGAAAAAAGGAAATTTTAACGGATTGTAATGTGTTACAATATTAAATTGGCTATCGATAGATTTAGTTGATACGTCATTAGGTCGATGACCTTGACAGAAATATTTTGCAACAAAAATTTACTATTATGAAAGAATAATATTATATATGTGCTTCAGGTACGAGGCGAAATGCGTGAAATGTACGAAGAGATTTCTGGATGTCCCGAAGAGATAATCTATCCTATTCTTGAGGGAATGGAAATGGCTTCGACTAACGCGGAAGTGACTGAACCACAAGTATCTGGACAAACTGAAGATACTAGGGAAACGGAGGATGTAAATGCCGGTAATGAGGACGAGGCTCTTCGAGAAGCGAACAATTACGTCTGTTCCGAGATGCTAGAGTGTAGTTGGACGGTGGATCCAACCGTTAATAATATCAATAATAATAATAACAGAGTGAGTAAATGCTATATATATATTATATATATATATATATATATATATATATATATATATATATAAAACAATGTAGATTTAGCAAATTGTGTTTTATCAAAATTTTACATTATTTATATTATTATATAAATTATATTATTATCCCTAACAGCACACATTTCGAAGACGTTCAGAGAACATGTCCCGAGGATGTCCTCTGAATATCCTCAGAATGTCTTTCGGATATGGTGTTGCTTAGGGATATTATTATATATATATTATTTATATTATTATAAAATTTTATATTAATTTTTTTTCTAAAGACGCAAGAGGAACTGCAGGTACCCTGGCCCCTGGTGGCGGCTGCTCTGGATGGCTCCGTAGCAGCCAACATCACAGTAACGACGCAGGACGAATGTAGCGAGACATCTACGACGACCGACTCCACAAGCGCCTCGCAACAGTTCATCAACACGGACACAACGTGGAATCCGTCAACTGCATTCAATTGCCGGTCGTTCAGGGCACGGCCTTTCAATCGGACAGCCTGGCCATCAGCGCACCAGAGAGCAGTTGTGTCATGAAGAGCCTGCAATCTCAGTCCCCACCCATCATCACGTTTCCGCAGTTGCAGTCCATCAGATTTGTGCAGACCAGCTTTAATCCGGAGCAGGACGCGACGTCTCTGCTCGCGAGCAACTCGCCTGCGATCTCGACGCAGCTGCAGCCTCAGCAGAGCACCACCGCGCAGATAAACATGATACGTACCCAAGATACCATCACTCAGATAAATACTCAGAACAGTAGCGCGTGCAATAATGTAAATCAGAACCATGCTATCGCGACGCAGGGTCAAGTACAAAACACTCTGTCGACCACGGGAATACAGGCTCAGAATCGTCCGCAAAACGCAATTGTCATTCAGCATCAGCCTGCTGCTACGACTCAGCCTCGACAAATTGCGGCTGCTGTGCATCAGCAACAGCAGCAACAACCGCAGCAACAGCAATATGCTGGATCATCGGTAACGATCTCCTCGCGACCGTCGCGCGTGTCTAATCAGGGTAGTCAGAGAGGCTCCAGAAACAATAAGGAACAAGGAGGAAGTAGATCGAGAAGCTCTACAAAGGAGCCTCCTGGTGCTGTCAACTTGGAGCGCAGTTATCAGATATGTCAAGCGGTAAATATTAATTCAATATTATTTTACAGGACAGTTTCATTTTCCCAGACAAATATCTGAATTAAGCAAAATAAGACGAGAAAATGGGTTTAAGACTGCTGGGTCTTCGTCGCGGCACATAATGTTAAATTGTGACGTCAGAGATGAGAAAGTACACACTGAAAATTTTTAGATGCCATTTTTAAATAAGAAGATATTTCGATGAAACACTACAGTCATTTTACAGCTGAGGTATTTTAAGATCGTGCTAAAAGATGGTGCTATCGATTTTTCTTAAAGGACGAGTTTCAAGGTCACTTCAAGGTCATTAATTTTTTAAATGGAACTATTTCAATTTTTTTATATAAATTAATATAAATTTCTCGCAATTTTACTTATAAAAGTTATAAAGATGAGATGGTCAAAAAATGAATAGTTTATGAAATATTTTATACTTTTAACATAATTTTACATAAATTATGAAATATCTCTCGGAAAAAATATTCATTTTCCGATTATCTTAATACTTTTAGGCACAAAATAATGAAAAGAACCAATTGATGTAAAGAAAATACATAGTTGTTTTTAAGAACAAGTATGTAATTACTAATTGCAAATTACATACCTTTTTCGTAAGCGCTTACTTTCAGGGATATTTGCCTGGAAAAATTAAAATAAAACACCTTATATATACATAGAAAAAATTTTTTGACAAGTGAAGTAAAATATTGGTATTTATATATTTCAGGTCATACAAAGTTCGCCGAATAGAGATCAGTTGAAGGCTCACTTGAAACCGCCGCCTAGTTTGCTTGCGAGAGGAGACGGTGCGTTTACCACGAGTAAATCCGGTGGACGCACGTTGACGACTGTCAAGCCTCAGAAAACGCAACAGGCGATGCAGCATAATAAACAGACTCAAAATAAAACGCAAGCAGTTATGCTGAGACACGTGTTTGCTACAGCGCGTCAGGCCACATCTACGGAGGTATGTGTAGCATATATATTAATGTTAGACTATATTTTTATTAAATACTTACCTGTGTCGCGCGACACATGTATAATTAAAGCTAAGTTCTACATTGGTCGTAGAATCGTAGATCGTAGAAAATTGATCCAATCACAGTCGATTATTCTCCTCACATTCAACTGTGATTGGATCAATTTTCTACGATCTACGATTCTACGACCAATGTAGACTTATTGTTAGTTTAAGGGTAAAATATTATAATTTATGATCTTAATCTTCTGGTAAACCTTAAATATTTTTTGTACGAGTTATGCAAGTAAAAAATCTCAAGAAAAATTAATAAATTATATTATAATAAATTATATTATAATAAATATATTATAATCAATTATAATATAATATATAAAAATATATAAATTAATATGAAGTTATAATAAATCAAGAAAAATATATTTAGTAAAAAATCACGATATAATCGCGATAAATCATGATAAAATAATTTTTGCTACAAATATAATTTTAATTCGCGATTCGATTGTCTTTCAATTTTTTTCTTGTATTGTACTGAATATCTGAATATGTACTTGCATACTATTTTATCCTTTTCTGTGTGTACAGTGCTAATCTTGCGGGTCGCTTGTGATGATCTCTGTATCATACAGGTACCTAAAATAAACAAATCTTTACATTAGTTGTGGGTTTTCAAATGAGTAGAGAGACTAGTGCGACTTTAATCGCCGAAGAAAATAATGTAGCGAAACGCGCAGAAAAAAAAGAAAAAATTTTTATTTGTAAAAATATAATGACAAGAATATGATGAACAAATGCATTTATATTCAGGGTGTCTTACTCCTTGAATAAACCGGGGATTGTAAAGAAATTTTTTTATCTTGAAAAATCCGAGAGTCCTCATAGAATTTTATTGGGATTTTTTTTTCAAAAATTGTGTTTGATAATTTTATTTAATATTTAAGAAATATGTATGTATAACATATTTTTGCAATATTTAAGTTTTTTTTAAATCTTATTTGATTTTATTGATGATCTCCTTTTAGGATCAAAATACATATGTTTTCATGGAAGGTTGTTCAATTTTTAAATAATATTTAAATAAATTAGAGTACTCCTTCAGATGTTTATAATAAATTAGTTTTGCTTTATATTTTTATTTTATATTTGCAGTATTTAGATAAAGCGATATATGTATAATGCATTTTTAAATTTGTATATTGTCTAAATTAATTTTATGATTAATAAATCGAATTTTAATTACCAGAAATGCTGCATTCTTGATAATTTTCTTTGCAATTGTATGACTGAAGAAAACATTAGAAAATACATAACAATAAAGAAACTTATTTTTAAAAGTTGCTTTTATACAAATTTTATTTGGAATTTTAAACGAGAATATCTGGAAAATCAGTTTTTTTTAACAAGATTCGAGACACCCCGAATATTATACAATAAGGCTTTTAGAAAGACCGCTGCGATTAAGAAACAGATTATACAGAGTGTCCCATTTTAAAAGATTCACACAAATAAAACTGAACATGAACTCTGAACATTTTAAAGAAAAGTATTTTAAACAAAGTTGTAGGATTTCGAGGAGGAAAGAAGGTAGCGCTACTGACTTTTTTTTAAAGGGCGATTTTCAAGATTATTTGAAGGTCATTTGTTTTTTTAAATAAAATTAATTTTTTTTATATAAATAAATTATTCGCAATATTTACTATAAAAAGTTATAAAGATAAGCTAAAAAGTGAATAGTTTACGAGATATTTTATACTTTAGTTTGACATAATTTTACATAACTGAAATTCATAAAATATTCATTTTTTGTCGATTTTACCTTAATACTTTTGTGCACAAAATAATAAATCAATTGGTGTAAATAAAATACGTAGTTATTTGTGAGAAAAAGTATGTAATTTTGCAACTAGCAACATATTTTTTTGCAAACAATTATGTATGTATTTTTTTACACAAATTGATTCCCTTCTTTATTTTATGCATAAAAATATTGAGGTGAAATAGTCAAAAAATGAATATATTATGAGATATTTTAGTTTATGTAGAATTATGTTAAAGAGTGATGGCAAAAAGACCTGTTTTTTCGCCCATTTTATAGGGTCGAATTTTGGGACCTCAAATTTCAAACTTTTTTTATGCCAAATAGTACTATTAGATGAAATATTAATCCCAATAAAATTTCAAGATGAACATAGGCACGGTTCTTTAGATATAAAGAAGTGAAAGTGATAATTTCTCATAAAACTAAAAATCATCACTTTCCCCCTTGTATCTTCGGAACCGTGTCTATTGCCTATGCTCATCTTGAAATTTTACTGGGATTAATGTTATATCTAATAGTACTATTTGCCATGAAAAAAAGTTTGAAATTCGAGGTCCCAGAAATTGCGAAATTTGCCATCGTTCTTTAAGGCTCCGACCATGTTGGAATTGTGACGTCAGAGGCGAGAAAACACGCTAAAAATTCTTAGATACCATTTTTAAATGGCTTTTTCTCACTTCTGATGTCACAATCTAACATGGCGGCGAGAACTCAAGAGCTTTAAATATTAAGGTTCCTGGATACTCACCGCGACCATCTTCGATTGATAACGTCAGAAGCGAGAAAATATACCATAAAAATTATTGTGACGTACGTGAAAATAAAAATGTTTTTCAATAAAATACCAGTTGAAATGGATAGAATACACTTGTAAAATATACCGAAAACTCTCCTTTTGTTTGGGTTATCAATAAATAACATGTATATGCCGAATTAAATTGAGCATAACCATAAAGACGAAAACCAGCTGTTCGACAGGTATCGAAAAAAATTAATATTTGCTTTCACATATTAAATTATGCCAAAATGAGAGTCTTCGGTATATTTTAACACCACGAAAATTATTTTAAACACAACAACACTGCACTAAAATGAAAAATAACGCTGTACGTCGCAAGAATCTTTCGGGCTGTCATTTCTCGCTTAGAGAAAGAGACAGAACTACATTTCTCGCTTATTGTTAGAGAAAGAGACAAAACTATAATCCGCCTGATGTCGCTACCATCGAAATTTGGAGTTCTATGGCGAGTATCCAGGAGCTTTAAATATATTGTAAACTATCCATTTTTGGCCATCTTATTCTTATAATTTTTTATGCCAAAAATTACAAGAAATCGATTTAATAAAAATTAAGGTAGTTAGATTTAAAAAAAAAACGAACGACTTTTAAATGACCTCGAAAATCACCTTTTAGGAAAAAGTCAGCGCCAACTTCTTTCTTCCTTGAAATTTTACTACTCTTGTTTGAAACATCTTTTTTAAACGCATCGTTCAAGAGATATTTGTGTGGATCTTTTGAAACGAAGCACCCTGTATAATATATATCTACAGATCAAATAGTAAAAATTGCGCGTCGAACGTCTACAAAATGATTAATTACACGTAATTGTGTTCTCTGTAGGTTGCAGAAAGCACCCCTATAGCGCAGCTCGGTTCCACCAGCAGCAACAATTTCGGGCAATACATACTTGTACAAAGGACAGGGGTTGGGGATGGTGCGCCGCGGGCGTCGTCCGCGCCCCCACTGCCACCGCAGATCGCGGGGATGGGCGTGGGGGTACACCTAGTGCGCGGAAGACCAGCCAGCGCCGGAGAGGGCTCCCATCAGGCCGTCACTCTGAAGGCGAGGGGTGCACAGGACAGCAGGGTGACGGGGGCGCGGAACCCGGCGCCCCCGGCATGATAATCGGGGGCGATCCGCCGCCCCCGTGCGAATGTAATATGCGCGGAGCCATGGTAATTTGTCGGCAGTGTGGTGCCTTCTGCCACGATGATTGCATCGGGCCTCAACGTATCTGTGCTACCTGCCTCATACGTTAAGCGTTTCTTTCTATTCATACACACAACCCTCCCTAACCCCTCGTTCGTGTATTATATATTTAATAAAACCCCCGTTATGAGATAAGAGTGCTGATCGTCTCTATAATGATATATCGGTGACCCAAGTAGCAAATGACGTCATGTTGACATCACTTTGACGTCTAATGACGTCATTTGACGTATGATGACATCATCTGACGTGTGATGACATCATTTGACGTCAAAATGATGTACGCTTGCTATTTGGGGAATTGAAGAGAAACACCAAACACACAAATATACACGCGTACACATACACACATCGTACATGACAAATTTATTATTAGACACGACGTAATATATAATATATCCGAGGGATCTCGATGATGTATTTTAGAAGATGTAAACAAAAAGTTATGCTCCACATAACTGTGTGATGGAAAAAATTTCGGGGTAATAATAATAACTTCTGTAGCAATCTACTATAGATAATAGTATATTGCAATGCGGTATTCTAGGATTTTTTTGCATTTCGATTAGAGACAAAAGTTAACATATCGATGTGTAGTTTCGGAAGAGTATCATTTTTTTAGAGGATAATATTGTGACATTTTTTTAATATTAATTTTTTTCTTAATAAACACAATGTTGCTTCCGAAGTTTTAATCATTCGTTGTACAATACGTTAATATACGTGAGCCACATGATCTACTAAATTAATCTCTACTGAAATTAATTGCCAAAGTAATTCTTCGAGTACAATTAAGACTAAGAAGTAAATAAAAAATAAAGGATAATATTTCATTCATATTACAAATTTGTCTATAATGATGTTCTCGTATATTTTTTCTGATGTGAATTAGATTTTCTATTATACTACAATAATTTAGAACGAATTTTGCTTGATAAAAACGCATGAATATTTATACTGTTTTAGAAGAGGAAAAATTATCTACATTTTTTTCTTAAATTCTACCGCGTTAGGGGGATTATTGTGGTCTGTCGGAATAGTAATGAGATTGAATGTAAATACTACGCTAACTGTAAAGTATAGCACTATCCAAATAGCAAGCATACGTCATTTTGACGTCTAATGATGTCATTTTGACGTCAAAATGACGTCAGTTTGTTATTTGGGAAACATACATCATTTTGACGTAGATGTCACTAGACATCAAAATAATGTCATTTTGATGCAAAATGACGTTATTAGACGTCATTTTGACGTTTGATGATGCAGTTTACAAAAAAATTTTTTTATTATTTTAAACCAGACAAGGTGTTTCTTATAAATTTTTGGATGCTGAAAACGATGCCAATTTTTACCAGCATATCAGATATTCGAAATAATTGGTTTAATGGCTTCTTTACGATATTTGAAGTTTTTTTATGAAAAAAGTTAACTTTATCTGGAAATTCTGATCAGATGTTATAAATATATTTTTTTTATTTTGAAATCTCACTTTTTAGTCATGTTAGGAAGGATTTAAATACAGACTTTTCCTGAGGTAGCAAATATTTGGAAAAAAATTTTTTGTTAATTTTGGAAAAAAAAATTTTAATTCCTCAAAAGTATCTCCATATGAGAAGTAATTAAACCTTTCAAAACATGGCGAAAAAGTAAGATATTAAAATGAAAAAATGGATTTTATTGTGTATTAGTAGATCTCGTTATCGTCTTTATTACGGGGCGACAAAATATTATTTGTTGTCGCTCCATAATAATCAGAAAATACGTGATAAGATCTACTAATTTTCATATTTACATATTTACGAAAAATATTATGGTAACACTACATTAATCGAAACTTTTACTGCTTTTAAAAGCAGGATTATATACTTTATATTTCACATAATTGTGTGATTTTTTTAGTCTTACTACATTATGTTACATATTAAATCATTACTTTTCTGACAAATCATATCTATATAAATTAATGTAGATCTATAAAGATTCTACTTTTTAATTTTATTTTTTATTGCAAAACTATTAGATTAGATTATATATAAAAGTAATTATGTTTCAAATTTGAAGAAAACGGTGAAAAATGTTGGTGTTTCAAGATACAGTAAAAATAGCAAAACTACTTCTGACAATTCATTTTAATAAAAAATTGTCTATGCGTCTATGGAATACTTGCGCGCAATTTTTTTTGTCTCTTAAAATTATAAGTTACTAATCCAGCACTCTTATATTAACGGAAGTCTTTATAGATTGAGGGTAATAAAGAATACAGTTGTGAGTATTGAAAGATTAAATATTGCTACATTATTATACAGCAGATGAAAAAAACATATAAAAATGCTTATTATTTTTCTCAATTTTATTGTTATCTTGCCTATTATATATTTTTATTGTAAATTGACGAGTGCAATGCATTGCTCTAATAAAATAATAAATTTCTAAGTAGATTTACATAGCAAACATAGATACATTGTACACAAAGTTATATTAACAAAATTAATCTCTGTATAATGTAATGATATTTAATTATATTTGTAAAATTGATTTATTATTTGCTGAAAAAAATTATTCATTTAATAATCAAAATTATATTATTTTTATAATATCAATGAATTGATTAAGATATTATAATCTTTACTATTTCTCCAATATCGTGAATAATACAAACAAAAAAAATAAATATTTAATTATATATTTGACAAATAAATATACAAAAAAGACTTACATAAAAATGTTTATTTTTCCTTTTTTAAATTTTGTCAAACTCTAGTCTGCGTCATATTTATATTTATTTATTACTTTATTTATTAATGATAACATTATTTATACTTTTATAATTTTTATATTTTATATCGTAACACATATTGCCATTTCATATTCATATTATAAAAAAATCATTTATTTCACTCACATAATTCTGTCATTTAATTAATAATATTATATACTTATACTACGATTTATATTAATATGTAATGTAATTTTGATTAGTGTAATTCCAATATTTTAACTGTATTCTTTAGACCCTGACTTAAAAGTTTGGCATATAAATCTCTTATATACACCGACTCTTAAATACAGTCTTCCACTAAACATCACGCTCTGTATACTCTGTAATATGTACGCTTGTTATTTATTTATTAACACGAATTTATTTTTATTATAGCTAGCTGTTTAGAGAATATTCCTGTACATGTTGATCTCGAAGCTACATAAATCCTTTGTACATGCTCTCTTTTAATTATTCCTTTGGGATATACATATAGAATGATGATCTATCGGACTCCGAGTCATAATATAGTTCGGATTACTTTTTGCACATGTATTAGTACATGTTGTATGTCAGACTATAGTATCATCGAACATTGTGTACAGGAACAGTAATATGTATAATATATCATGAGAATGAATAATTGATTAAGATTAATGATTTATTACAAATAATAAGAGAAATAATTGAATATATTCATAGCTATATAATATAATGGCTAATTATCTCCAAAAATAGTGGTCTTATAAAAAAATGTTAAAAGTTGTAAGATTCAAAATAAGGCACTTGATGGTGACCTTGACTTTGACCTAAAGGTCAAATTTAGGTTATTTCAAGGTCAACTTAATTTAAAAAAAAAATAGAATCCTCGATTTTGCATATTCTTGTAGTTTATCTCAAGAGCTTTCCAAAACACTATAATAAAACATTTTTGAATTATAAAGGTTTGAAGTTAACAATTTTTTGACATAAAATGTTAAATATCTTGTAAAATATTCAGATTTTAGTAATACGGAATAATGAAACCAATCAATTGGTATAAAGAAAACATAGTTGCTTTAAAAAAAATGTATGTAATTTGCAACATACTTTTCTAAATGCATTTTATGTCAAAAAATTGTTAACTTTAAACTTTATAACTCAAAAAATACTTAATGAAAAAATGTTTTATAGTGTCTTGGAAAGCTCGAGATAAGCTACAAGAATATGCAAAGAAAAATAGAGGGTTTCATTAAAAAAAATTAAGTTGACCTTGAAATGACCCTTAGGTCAGAGTTAATATCAACATCAAGTGCTTTATTTTGAGTAATGTTTGTATTTAACCTTTTTTTTATAGGACTATTTTCGGAGATAACTAACCGTTGCCGAACTTTTGAACCACCCTGTATGTATAATACATATGTAATTTATATTATTTGACCTCCCATGATGATTTGTTACGGATTAAGGCTCCTGGCCTCTCACCGACCATGTTGGAATTGTGACATCAGAAGCGAGGAAACGGACGTTAAATATTCTTGAATGCTGTTTTGAAATAAAAAATATCTTGTTTTTAATATACCTCGAAAACTTTTTCCCTTTATAATTAAACAACAGCTATAAAATGACTGTAATATCAAGAGAAAAAATATCCAGATAGCAAGTATATGTCATTTTGACGTCATTAGAAATAAAAATGACCTCATTTTGACGTTTAATGACATCATGTTGCTCTTGGGTAGTTTTGAGAAATTTTAAAAATATGCTAAAGCTATTTGAAGTAGTTTTTCATAGATTTTTTTTTTAATTTGAAGATGACATCTAAGAATTTTCGGTGTGTACTTTCTCACCTCTGACGTCACAATCTAACATCGTCGCTGCGAGGATTCAGCAGCCTTAACTCTTTAGCATTGTTATTTATATATCGAGGAATGATTTATTGAGAAATTTAGCAAACAATTTTATTTTTGATATATATATAATTTCACACTTATATGCTTTAATCCAAGTTGATATATATACGTCTGGAGAAAATATTCTACAGTTCAAATGCAATTGTGACACAATAATAATAATAATAATAATAATAATAATAATAATAATAATAATAATAATAATAATAATAATAATAATAATAATAATAATAATAATAATAATAATAATAATAATAATAATAATAATAATAATAATAATAATAATAATAATAAAATAATAATAATAATAATAATAATAATAATAATAATAATCTTTCTAGAATGGACTGATAGAGAAGCATTGTTTCTAGGGTGACTATTATATCTATTTCTAATTTGGATTACAACATATACATATATATACATTATATTAAATGCTATAATTGTACACATAAATATTACTATCCGAAACTTATAAATGCTTTGAAGCGTCGATTGATTAATCGATCTGAACGGATCAATCTTAATATCTTTTTTTTGCCCTAATTCGTCATTCAAAGCATTTATCATGCCGAGATAAGTTTTGGCAACCAACTGATTTCACCTATTCTCATTTCTTTCGGTTTGTATTTCTTTTATTTTTGAGACACATTTGTTCTTTCTAACAGAGATTGGCAATTGGATATGAATCGTAAGCGGTATTTTTTCAATAAAATGTCTCAGATGTATTTTGAATCTCTATTATCTGAATCTCTCTCATATATTAAGTGTTAATTTCATTAAACTGGCAAATATACATCTTGCTTTGTTGTTTAATCAAATATACATATCGATATATAAATATTTTATAAATGCAAATGAAAAAAAAATCTTGTTTCTCTATTATTCTTTACTTAATTTGAGAAATTTAATTATCAAGATTTAATGAAAATTATTTCTGATGTGAGTTTATTTGTCAAATTCTTTCAAAATTTTTCAAAAATTTGAAGCCGAATATTTATTATATATATTAATTAATATTTATTAATTATAATAAATATTAATATTATTAATTATTTAATATATGATTATATTAAATAAAATTAATAAAAATCACGTCTTTTTTCGAGAATATTTTCGAAAAAAGGCTTTGTTTTGCGACAAAAAACATGTGTTTCATATAATTTGTAATAATTAATTATTGATTTTTTAAATATTTTAGAAATTCTTTAAAAATTAAAAATGTTTATAAAAACTTATATTTTGGAAATTTAATTTTATCTTGACAAGGAGCTAATACATATATATATATGCAGTGTCCAGTAATATTCGTATCACCTTTTATGCATATGTAGATGAAGCGGATGAGAAATCGAGTAAAAAAGTTCTCTCTATCGTTTTGCAATCTTCGCAATAATCAATGAGAAATTAATTTAAAACAAAAAATTAATCAACTATATAATCCGCTCTATTTGTGATTCGATTACACTAGTTTACAGCCAAAAATTATTTTAAATTAAAATGTTTTTTTTTATAGATTTTTAGCTTAAAGCGATACCACAAACCAAATTTCAATAGATTTCGTCAGATTTACAAAATAATTGAGATGTAGAAAATGGCTTTTTTGTGATAATTAAATTTTTTTTGTAAAAACGATTAACGTTATCTGGAATGTTTGATCAAAAATGAATATATTGACTATCCTCAATAAAATGCTTTTATTTTATTTCAATATCTTCCTAGGTAGCAAGTATATACGTTATTTTGACGTCGAATGACGTCATTAGACATCATTTTTTAAATAATCGAAATAAAAAGAATTTATTGTATATAAAAATGCATTATATATATATATATATTTAATATCCAATTTTTATTAGTACGTCAAGTTTTTGAAATAATTGAGATTTAATATGCTAAAAATGATTTTTGGGCTATTTGAGATTTTTTTATGAAAAAAGTTAATGTTATTAGGAAATTCTGATCAGTTATATGTATATACATATATATATATATATATATATATATATATATATATGTACATGTATGTATATATGTATATCTGATCAGAATTTCCCGATAACATTCACTTTTTTCATTAAAAAAAATCTCAAATAGCCCAAAAAAGTCATTTTTAACATATTAAATCTCAATTATTTCGAAAATTTGACGTGTTAATAAAAATTGGCTTGTGACATCGTTTTCAGCATCCAAGTTCAATAAAAACCACCTTATCTGGTAAATTTAAAATAATAAAATATTTTTTGTAAACTAGTGTTATTTATTATTAGAATTATTCTATATATATTTCAAAATCAACCAGCCAAGTTGCCAAGCTCTGTATTAATAAACATGCATATTTAGATAATAAATTATTGCTTGCATTTTGCGTTATTAGAAAAAATCATACTCACATATACAAAAATAGTAAAAAAGTGATAGGACAACAAAAATATGGTGACTGAGATCAAATAAATAAAACGGTGGTGCAGTTGTGGTGTGTTAGAATATGTTTTATGTACATTATATTTCATCATTATTCTATTTCATCTCCCCGTATGTGTATACAGTTATAATTAGATGACCTTCACCCTCTTGTCATATTATTATTGTTAGGTCACAATTATTGTAACAATTAAAGGTTCTGAGGCAATAATATGTTGAATGACACGAAATGCGACTTTTGTTTTAAACACTGTATATGAAGAAATAAGCTCGCGAAAATTTATTTCTCTGTTGTATGTCTGTTAAAATCTATTCTGTGTGATTTAACGTGTTGTCGTCTCGGCCCATCAACTTATTTAAGTTTAACACAGGTTAAGAAATACGCATTACGTTGTGTCATATTTTTTCTAAATATGTATAATTTACGTTACTTATCGATATTGATTATTTATCGTATACCACTATAATTATATAATGTTAATTTTTTATCAATAATAGTGACTAGTATTACTGCAATCTTCGAAATTACTCTGTATCCGTCGCTCAAATGTAAATAAAGTAATATACGTTTAATATGAGAAATTATTTAATGTAACAAAAGGAACCCCGCACTATTTTTATTTTTAAATAAAAAACATTCCCAGATAGCAAGCGTACGTCATTTTGACGTTGTGATGTCATAGACGTTAAAATAATGCCAGACGTCAAAATGACATCGTCAGTTTGATACTTGGGATTTATTTTTTTCTTAAAAAATAGTCAAAATTTGTATTTAGGGGAGGTCACTATTTTTTGAGTTTCTATAACTTTAATAAGTGGACAAAATGGGAAATTTTCTGGGGAAATGAGAAAAAAAAATTTTATTTTGTCCAGCTCATAGTGTTCCATATAAAAAATTATCAAATTCACCGATACTAAAAAAATAGTGATCTTTTCAAAAATAGAAATTTGAAACTTTGAAATCCTTTTTTGCATTTAAATTTCGTTCATTTTTAACGAAGCTACAGCCTGAATTTTGTCGATTTTAAAAAAAAAATTAAATGTTTCTTTAATTTTTGTGAGTAAGATCATCATATTTAATATATATATTTCTATATATTTCTATATATATTTATGTATTGTATATGGACTTCTTCCTGTGATTACAATAAGATTTATAAAAATGCATATATTTAATCAATATTTCAAAATATTAATTTTACGTTTTCTTATTAAGCTCAAGAAATTTTCGATATATTTTATTACAATTTATATTATTGAACATGAGAAAGTAGTAACATGCAAAAAGACTTTATTTAATTTGATATATTTCACAGAAAAAAGAAATATATTATTTCTCGCTTCTGATGTCATGAAATTCAACCGTATGACGTCAAAAAGAAACCAGATGTCTTAAATTGTTCCAAAAAAAGATTCCTCGACATAAATCAACATTGCCTTTTAATTTTAATATTTCCTTTTTATTCTAACCATATAACTCACATGCATTAAAAGTTATGTTTGCTTTGATATATATATATATATATATATAGTGTATCTAAATATTATACAATATATAGGGTGTCCAATTTTAATCGATCACCCTCTAATACTTTTTGATTGTACAATTTTTTTTAGACAAAACTTATTTGATTTGAAGAGAGACAGAAAATGGCGCTATTAATTTTTTTCTGAAGAGCGTTTTTCAAGATCATTTAAAGGCCTTTTTTAAAATAAAATTGTTACAATTTTTTATACAAATTAATTCGCAATTTTTTGCATAAAAAGTTATAAGGATAAGATGGCCAAGAAATAAATAGTTTACGCTGTTACGTCCAGGCTCAAAAATAATTAAGGAAGAGTCAAGGAAGGAAGGACGTAACAATACCCTTATTTCTCAAACGGCGCTGTACAGTGCGTCTGTTCGAGCTGAACAAAACCGTCTAGGCCCAAATAGGTCAATAACCGCGAAGGCCGCTTTTACTCTATTTAAAAGGCTGTTCGTTTGGTGGTCTCTTTTTGGCAAGAGAATTTAAATCTCTTTTGCTCGGGATGGGACCTTGTGCGATTTCTGGTTTGGAAAGGAACGAGAGTGGGTTTTCCTTTATTAATTAAATGATGTCAAATTCATAATCAAATATCAGATTTATTTTTATCAAAATACGAAAGAAGAGTTATACATAAAAGGAATTATATTTATGTAGGAATTATATTATGTCCACTTAAGCGTGGAGCACACACTTTTGCATAAGCGTATAAGCATATGCATAAGAAATTCGATTGGTTGAATTTTTTATGCATACGTTTATAGACCAATCAAGATTATTATGCTTACGCTTATGCGCCTATGCAAAAGTGTGTGCTTCCCGCTTTACATGATTTTATTATGCTTACTTTGCGTCGTTCTCTTCTTAACAGTTTTTAAACAAGTTTTTTTGAAAAGTTGAAGATATATATATAAAAAGAAACCAACGATCTAACAAAACACCTCATTTTGAACTATACTTAATCACAAATTGTGTGTGTTTATATATGATCGGATAGATATGCTTAAGCGGGGAGTACACACTTTTGCATAGGCGCATAAGCGTAAACATGAGAATCTTGATTGGTCTATAAACGTATGCATAAGAAATTCAATCAATCGAATTTCTTATGCATATGCTTATGCGCTTATGCAAGAGTGTGTGCTCCCCGCTTTAAACTATTGATGTCCTATTTGTCTTATTATTTTATGTTTGCTAATTTTTCTAAAATAACATAATAGGACTCGCTGAGTAAATCATAGTATCTTTATTTAAATTTAACCCATTTTTTTTTGTTCTTTGGTGTGTAACATCTCAGAGATGAGTCTTTGGTAATAATTACTTTCATTGTCCAGAATCGCTACATATTATCCCAGTTGAATGTATGGTGTTCTTTTATTATATGTTCAGAAATTACCGACCCAGTCAGAAATGTATAGTTGACTCGACGTCGAATCAACGTTGAAATCTGATGTCGAAGTATAGTCAAAATTTTGATCGATTCGACGTCGATCTCGTACCAAATATCAACCAATTTTCAATTATTATTTCAACGTCGTTTCAACGTCGAAATTTGATGGTATATATATATATAAAATAGTATACTTTATTATTTATTATTTTTAAGGTAAAAATACTAAAAAACAAAAAGTGCAAATCTTATTTTTCTTTTATTTATTATTATACAAAGTTGAATATAATTAAACTACATTGCATTATAAAATATATATTTATTAACAATGCGTTATATCTTTAAACTATTTCAAATTTTAACATATTATAAGAATAAAGCGTTTAGTATACCGTTTAACAAAAAATCACAAATAATTGCAGAACAGCTACGTGTTTTACTAACTTTTACACATATAATAAGTACTGAAAACTTATAAATTTGATAACAAAAGTAATATTGCACACACAAGTCCTGATGCTTGTAAACAAAAAAAAAAGAAAAAGTCTCTTATATTATATTAATATAGCGACAAAATAAAATTCCATTTTTTTTTTCAAAACAATCGAAAGTATAAATCATTTTTCGCAATCGCATAAAATTAGAAAAAAAATAAAACTGAAATTGATTTCACGTTACGCATAAAAAAATAGATATTTTTGTCGCAGACATTTTGTTGTTTTAAATATAGAGCAGAGCATAGTTCAGCCATAAATATGCTATAAAAATCGTCAAATGACAATAAAAAAATAGTCAAATTTTAAAACAAAAGAAACACAAAAATAATCTTATTTTTTTATTCTTTTCCCCATACTGCCGTTATCTTGGCGACGCCAAGGTGCTTGCTTTAGCCACAGTGAAGTAGCTGCATCAATCTCTGGGATTTCTGTTTCTGGCCTTTTGTCTAAAATGGCACCTAAAAATGCAATAATTTTTATATTTTATTAAATTTTATTAAATTTTTTAAATTATTTTATTATATTAAATTTTTATTTTATTTTTATTAATTAATTTATATTTATATTATTCTCTTATTTGAAACGATTCTTAGTTGGAAATAAATATAAGTTTACTTACCTTGAACAACTTCATACAGCATCAGCTTTTCGAAACATTTTTTGGATAAATGTTTACCACTTTTTAAAGTAAAGTCTGCTGCCAATGTGTTTGAAATAAGTTTCCTTAGTACTTTATATGTAGCTTCCTTAATATTGTCTTTAGGACCAATAATTTGACTCATGTAACAAATCTGGAAAAAATCAAAATTTAAGCAAAGAAAATTAAATATTAATAAATATTAAAAACAAATATACATATATATATATATAATAAAAGCGATAAATATTTATTTACAGTTGCACCAGCATTATCATCTTTCGTTAAATATTTTTCAAATTTTTCTAATTCTTCCTCTGTTGTCAATGGAAGTGCTGGAAGATCTGCTGGTCTTATTATTCTTTTCTCATGTGGTAGAAGAAAGCGATTTAATCTGCATAAATTCATAGTAATCATATCTAATTTGCTACTAATTTCTTAATTTAACGAATACATCTTTTTTTCAAAAGCTTTCATATCAAAGGTCGCTTTAGACACATCTAATACACTACCTGTAAGAAAATCAAAACGTAATATTTGATGCTTTAGAAAAAATTAAAAGGTACAAAGTCATATATGTTACTTGATCTACAAGATGAACTCGGTGTAGTTACAGCTGTCACATGTGAAGTAACTGGACTCTTTTGACGTAATTCTGATGGAGAAGTGCATATTGAAGATGATGATTTTTCATCAGATATATTTGCTTCATAAATACAGTAATCTTTTGATGTACCTGGTGTCTCTATATTTATCGATCTTGCACTTGTACTTGGAGATACATCTTTATTTGATATCCTGAACTTTCATTGAAAAATCGTCCTCTCGTGGAATATTAGGATCAATATTTTCTTCTGTAGCATTATCAGAATCCATCTTTACACATGAAAACATTTCAAGACTTTATTTATACCAATAAAATTATGACTTACATCACATTGCATGTGCGACGTATAGAAATACTTACATTATCTTCTATTAAACATTTCTGTTTTTCTCTTGCAATCTCTATGATTTTTGTTTTGTTATCCGTAACTGAAGTTACCTTCCTTGCTTGACATATTTTTGTAAGTAAGAGATCCTTTTTAGATTTATGATTTTTAGAAAATGTCAACATTGCGTCATTTTTTTTTCTAATTGTTTATTTTTCTGTAATCTTTCAAATTTTTTTGTTTTGCTATCTGTGATAATATTGTTTTGATATTGTTTTACTTTATTATTTTCTGATCGAAACAAGATAAGTGGCGGAGAAGGAGCATGTTTAAATTTATATTTTTTTATAGCACTATCATCTCTATCAAAATCTGAATCATCAGAAGTTGAAATATTTTTAAATTTCTTCTTTTTTGTCACTTTTGTCGAGAGAGATTCATCACATGCAAACTGCCGCTTAATTTTTTTACGTTTACCACGACCAAATTCACACTCTGTTTCATAATTAGACGACATAATATATCCATTTCGTGCATTTCGTGCAGCCAAAAGTGTATCTAGGAAATACAATTAAAAAGACAATTAACTTTTTATAAGCAAAAAATATGCAATAAGAAACAACATACCATAACATTTTAAAACAGTAACATTATATATCGGCCATGAAGGAAGTGCATCTATTTCTTTTTTAATTGCAGTACTCTGCTCAGATTTAGGAGGCCAAGAAATTTTTGCATTTGTTTCTTCATCTAATTGTTTTAGCCATTTAATAAGACCAACTTCAAATAAAGAATCGTCTTCCTCGTCGCAATCAACATCTTCATTTATAAATTTCAAAACGACAAACTGAAAAAATAATGATTTTGATATGTAATGACTTAAAATTTTTCTAACAATAAAATACATAAAAGAATTAACTTTACATACACTTACAATTAGATACACAATATAGACGACATAATATATCAAAATTCTATTTGTAAAAGGACATAGTATGAAATAAAGGTATGCAAACATATTCATCTTTTATAGGAATAAGCCAACATTTGGCAATAATATTATTTATAGAAAATACCAATCTTTCTTCACTTAAATCAGATACTTTGACAATGCCAAGTTCAGACGAATGCAAAGGATATGTATAAAAATCTGTAATATTTTTAAAAATATTGCCAACAAAAATTATATTATCCTGATTGCGAATGACATTTGTCAGGACTCCAATTTTACCTTCACTTGTTTTGAAGCATGAATCTCTATTATTTACTTAAAAAATAACATCATTTACTGAAATTTTTTTAAACTGTTCACCATAAATATTTTCATTGATATTTCTGTTTTTTTGAAAAAATAATGTTATTTATATCAGAATCTAAAAGTACAACGTTTTTCTTACTTTGTTCTAGCTCACGTTTTGCTGCTTGTTGAATGGGTTTAAAACCAGATTTGAGGTTACTTTTAATCATTTTTAATTTGTTTTCATAACGAAAGGCACTAAATGTATCTAAACAACCATGATCAATACATTCTTGTGCCAAATGGCAAAGAGAGTGAACATTATATACAACAAATAATTTTCTAAATAATGTGATAGAATGTTGGATAAAAGTTCTGAGTAGAGTATTTGCATACTCGTTAAAACTTTTATAAAGAATGGGACTTGTAAGAATATAAATTCCACAATGCAATAATAGAAAGTGCTTATAAATATTTATATCAGGATGTGAAGCAAAAGCTGCTATGCCATCGTATAAACATAAACGACGGAATTCCGTTGCTTTGTAAAATGATAATTCATGTAAAGATCTGGGTTTTCGAGCAAAGTCCTGAGGACAAGAAGGGGCTAACAGAATCAGCCTATCAGATATTCTGTTTACAACAGTCCAGTGTAGTTTCCATGGACTTATCCAATTCTTCCATGCTTCTAATAATCTCTTAAACACACCTTCATATACCAAATGCATAGGCTCTAATCGAAACTGAGAGACCATTTTGGTATTAAGTTGAAGAAGAGGTGATACTCCTTTATGATGGCGAGGTTGCATTTGATTTTTAAAACTTTCGTCAGTTCTTAAAGGAGCATGTAAATCAATATACGTTTGCCTATAATCTAATCGTTCTCCCCATACTGTACATTTTTCACATGAAGCATATCCATTATGGCCTATACAACATTTTATTAATTCTCTAGCTGGAGCATCAAGAATATAATGTCTAATTAAAAAAATAAAAGTTTTTCCATATCGTACATAACCATTAGAAATTAGATTATCAACTTCAGTTACAAAATCTTGCAAAAACTCTTTCACATTATTTGGATCAGAATTCCCAAAATAAATAGCAATAATGAATGGATAATTTTTAGTTCCTACGAGATGTCCTAATATTGGCCAAAATTTTTTCTTTGAACTTCGAAAAAGAGGGAGTCCGTCAGTATTAATATCTATTTCAATTTTTTGTTTTACTTGCAAGTACTTTTTTAAATTAAGCCCATCCAAATAATTTTTAATTCCTCGATACCAAAATTGTCCTCTATTTTCAAAGTGAGTTATATGTATATCGTCATCAATTTTCAATAAAGTTTTATAACATTTAGGCAGATTATTAAATACAGGTTGAAGTTTTGCAAGTAATTCATCTATTTTTGACATAGAAATAACACCACCTGATAAAGCCCATTGACGTAAAGCTAATATTACATAATTTTCCTTTTGCTGATTATTTTCAAAAACTGTATTAACATTTTCATCTCCATTTTCACTTTTATTCGTATTTTCACTTTCATATATACTTTCATCTGTATTTTCACTCTCATCTATACCTTTGCACTCATTTTAATTTTCATTTTCATCTCTATTTTCACTCTCATCTATACATTCATTTTCATCTCTATTTTCACTTTTATCTATATTTTCATCAAAACTCATGACATTAGAAAGTCTTTCGAAAGCTATATCTTCTTGAATCTCAAGTTCACTTTGAGAATAATGATTTAAATCTATTAATTCATTAAGTTGCAAATTTTCTTCTTCAGAGTCTCTTGAAATTGACAAATTGCTGTTGCTTAAACTATTGCACTTGAGTCTACATTTTGATTCTAATAATTTATTAACTCTTTTTAAAATATAATCTTGTCGCTCTTTAACTTTCAACCTTTTTATAACTATGGTCTCAGCTCTTTCCTTCCAACTACGTTTATAACACTATATATATAAACAAAAAATGAAATAATTGACATGTGATAAAAAAATGTATAAAACTATTTTCTTTGTTTATAGAAACAATAGAATAGAACTGATTATATATATCCAACTGCTACCTTTTATTATTCAAAGCAAAAATACTTTTTTACACACTTTATCTGACAAATACGTGGAAAGCAACGTACAGAATTAAAAAATTTAAATATAAAAACTCTAAATCAAAATACAGAGAAAATGTTTATTATAGGTTACGTTGTCACAAACACTTAATAACCGCGCGCCTATATTTTGTATCCTATTATTATTTTATATAAAAATAATAACAATCAAGTGTAAGAAAAATAGTACTTACCCGCTTAGTAACGTCAATATCCATTGTGATAATTAAAAATGCGATAATACACTTGTAACATAAAAGCAATATCCGCAACGTGCGCATTCACTCTAACGGATGGTCATACATATATATCATACATTACCCCCGATCTACGATCGTAGCAACGCAACTTAAGGGTATAACACACACATCGAAAGATTTTACCAATTGCCGAATCAAGCAATGTGAAAGGTGTGTTATAGCTTTTCTGACGCGCTGTTCAATCACGGGCCCGCAAGAATTTTTTAAGCGATTATAAATTGAATCATTTAGGCCAGATTCCACAACTCACTTTAATAACCGAAACTTAAATCGTTAAACCTAATCAGGATTGGTTCATAACGAGTTAGACTTCGGTTAAAGAGATCAACGTTGAATCAACGTTGCACTTCATCTGATTGGATGATTGATATTGCAGTAATATCAACTTTCTTATCGACTCAACTAGCTGTCAACCATATCGACGTTGAATCAACCTTGAATCAAGGTTACATTTCTGACTGGGGAGTGTCACATCGAATCCAACTTGATATTATTTTTATGTTCTTTCAATCTCGTCTGTAATTGTCTCCTCGTTAACGGCCCACATAAGATGCATTACAATTATTGCAATTGATCTTATAAACAACATCAGAATTACATGTTTAATTTTATCTTTTTGTTTAATGATTTTATCAAGTTTGTTAAGATATCTATATCCTGCTAAAAAATCTGTATTTTTATCGAGGAGACAATCATTCCTGAGATCTTATTTAGTATGCAAAGTAAGCATAAAAAATCATGTAAGGATATCTTTATTTAATATTAGACATGCGTTAAGGGTCGACAGGTCGGCCGGCCAAACTCCGAATTGATGTTGGAGACCTCGCGCGGTGACAACGCGAAACTCCGATTTCAGTGTTGCCAACGCCGAGAAACCAATTCTCGGGTTTTATGTAGTGGTGCATGTCTGTACACGTACATACACTATTGCATTGCTCACGCGGACGCACCGTAGAGAGACAAGGACCGATAATTACGTGTTCTCCTTGTTCCTCTATCGTGCCGGTATTCGCGAGATACGGCCTGAAAATGCTTTCTGGCCTTCCGTAGCAGAAGGCAGTAGTGTAGCAAGGCTAATAAGTACCTACTTTTTGTAAATTTTATATATGCTTATGCACATATGTGCATATATATATATATTATATATATATATAAGGGATATGTTGATTATTCTTGATTTCTTTTTGATTATTGATGCTATTGTATCATTTGCTCCAAATACTTATAACGTGAAAGAACGTTGAGTAATGTATAATCAATGCAAGGATGTTCAGTATATCATCCAGTAAATTAGAGTTCAAATATTTCAATATCAATTTTTTTATAATATATATATATATATATATATATATATATTAAAATATAGAAAAATGATAAAAAATATATTTCGGCGATTTAAAAATTTTTTAATATATTGAAAATATTTTTACTACATACACTATATATAAGTGTAAAATAATTCAGAAAATAAATTTAAAAATAAATTTAATAAAAATCTACATACCAGCTGTGTGCATGTGTGCAATTGATTTATTACTTGAAATTTATTTACGAAATTATTACTTGAATTATTTTGCATTTATATATTTATGTGTGTAGTTGTAAAATATGATTAAAATATTTTCAATATCAAATTTTTAAGTTTATCGCCTATATAACAAATATATTTCTATGATTTTCTATATTCCAATATATTATAAAAAAATTGATATTGATATATTTGAACTCAAGTTTTTTACGTGATTCTTGCATTGAGCCATCATACGTTACTCGTAAGTTCTTTTACGTCATAAGTACTTATGTAGCAGAGAGAAAGAAATGAGAGTTATACAATGTAACATCAATAATCGGAAAAAATCAAGATAACGTCATATCTGTCTATATATATATATATATATATATATATATATATATAAAACTTATATATTATATATATATAATATTTCATTTATTTATAAAATACATTTTCAATTCATATTCAACCTGAATGATATTTTCTATATGCTTATGCTATCCTCCGATCTATCCCTAACAAATTAGGAAGTGTAATTGCATTATTATCATCAATTATTATCTTATACTTTTTACCTCTAATTTCTATAAAATTTAATTCATTATCACATTTTATCCTTTAAATCAATATTTATTTTGAATTTTCATTAATATTTTTATTCTATTAACATGAGCAGGAGCTCAACCTATTGAAATACCTTTTATCATTATTAGACAAATTTTATCATTATGTTACTTTCTTTATTTTATCTTATTACCTTTCCTAATAAAAATTTGAGATTTAATTATTTTTAAATAAATATTAAAAATTTATCATTATAAATAAATTTAAAATATTAAAAATAATTATATTTAATACTTAAATTTTTTATAAATTACTATTAAATTAAGGTAATGATCTTGAATTTAAGTTTATGTTTTGAAAACATATTAAAGAAATTTTAATTTTTTATTAACTTTTAAACATTTAATTTTTTTTACTAAATTATTATTTATAATATAAATTTAAATCCAAAAATTAATAAAATATAAACTAAAATTATTGGTAAAATAATTTTCCAACATAAATATATTAATTCATCATATCGTATTCGAGGAAGTATTCCATGTATAAAAATTACTATTCTACATAAAATATTAATTAAAATAAAAGTTAAAATTATTGAATATTTTAATAAATTTCTAAATATATAAATTCTAATTAATCTAAAAAAAATAATTATTCGATATTCAGATAAAAAATTAATGTAAACCCACCCCTAAAATATTCAATATTAAACCCTGAAAACAATAATTCTGACTCACCTTCGATAAAATCTATAGGACTTCGATTTAATTCAGCTAAAATCCTAATAAAAAATATAATAAACAAAGGATATAAAACTACTATATATCATAAATAAAATTGATAATTAATAAAATCAAAAAAAGAATATCTCTCTCTTATTAATATAATAACTAAAACAATTAAAATAAATCTTACTTTAAATGATAATATTTGTGAAACTGATCGTATTGCCCCTATTTTTGAATAAATCGAATTAGCTGATCATCCCATAAAAATTATAACATACCCTCTAATAGTTATAAAACAATTATTAATAAAATAGAATAATTTAAAAAATAAATATTAGTAATGTAAGGAAATACTAATCATATTATTATTAAAACAAATCTAATTATAGGACATAAAAAAAATTATAATTAGATTTATATACATAAAATAATTCTTTATTAAGTAATTTAATAGCATCACTAAAAGATTGAAATAATCTTATAAATCCCACCTTATTAGGTTCTTTACGAATTTGTACATATCTTAAAATTTTTGTTCCAATAAAGTTAAAAAAGCTACCCCAACTAATATAATTAATAACAAAATTAACAATCTTAATATATTTAACGCACTATAAAAATATAATCTTAAATTTTGACAAATTATTACTTGTATAATTTTTTTCTATTATACATCATTTAAATTCTAAATTTAATACACTTAAATTCTGCCAAAGTAATTTTATTTATTTACATATATTTAATCAATTAAATTTATTCATAAAAAAAATATAATTTGAAAAAAAGTCCTTTCGTACAAAATTTTCTTAATTTTATTATAGATAGAAACCGATCTGGCTTACACCGATCTGAACTCAAATCATGTAAAATTTTATTAGTCGAACAGACTAAAATATTAAACTTCTTCATTTAATTTTTATTTTAATTCAACATCAAGGTCGCAATCATTTTTATTAATATAATCTTTCTAAAAATATTACGCTGTTATCCCTAAGGTAATTAATTTTTATAATAATTATTATAAAAAAAAAAAAAATTTTCTTAATTTAATAATCAATCTTTATAAAAATTTCATTAATTAATGTTAAAATTATCTTTAAATTAAAGTTTATTTTATTTAATTATCCTCCCAATAAAATATAATCATTAAAATAAAATTTATTTCCTTAAATAAATTTAAAAATTATATTAAATTCAATAGGGTTTTCTCATCCCATAATTTCTTTTAAGAATTTTAACTTAAAATTTAAATTTTAAATCTACAAATTGAAACAGCTTTAATTTCATCAATTCCTTCATTCCAGTTTTCATTTAAAAAACAATTGATTATGCTACCTTTGCACAGTCAATATACTGCGGCTATTTAAAAATCACTGAGCAGAAATAATTTAAATTATCAAAAAACCATGTTTTTGTTAAACAAGTAAATTAAAATTTTAATTTAATAAAATAAATTTGCCTAATTCTTTAATTATATATACATATATATTTTAAATTTAAAAATTTCTATATAATTAATATAAATATACTTATACTATCATTATTTATTAAAATACTTAATTTATTTAAAATATTTTTTATTTAATTAAATCAAATTTTCAAATTATTATATTTAAATTAGAATAATCCATTCCATAATAAATTATAAAATTTTTATAAAAAATTTTAAAAATAAAAAATATTTTTCTATTTAAATCATTTATATTTGTCGGCATTTTTTTATAAACTCTCATAAGAGAGGTAGAAAGATTTGTTTGACAAAGAATTATCTGATCTCCGTGTTTTGTTTGACCTCGTATCAGGTATTATTTATTTCGAGAGCGTTCTGAGCGATCCTTTGTCTATCGGAGAAACCGAAAACACATCTCTGCTCGATACACGAAGGTAACGCTGATTGGTCCGATATTTATTTTGGAAGGTTTTTAACGCCGGGTATATATATATGCCGAGAGAACAGAAGAGAACAGACAGAGAACAGAAGTCAGAAGAGGAAGTCACAGAGAGTTTTCCCGGCTTGAACGTATAAATCAGATTCTCTTAAACATCTCTTTAACTCGGAACGACGGCGAAATTGGAGCACCCATCGGAAGGATCGGAATCGTTAACGGCACGATTTGAAGACATATAAGTTCGCAATAATACATACTTATTTTAAAATCATATTTGACCTATCCTGACTGTACAATACAATCTCCCGATCGAGAAAATTATCCTATCTATCCTTATAAAAGAAGAGAAATCAAATCATTTCGTCGCCGACATATTCATAAAATATTTTAATTATAATTTATAGTTAATCCCATAAATTTTTTACATAAATTTACTAATTAAATTTTATTATTAATTTAATTAATTGTAAATAATTTATATATAAATTAAATTTATATAAAAAAACTAGATATCATAAAAGTGGATTAAAATATCTTTTTCAAATAAATATTTAAAATAATTTTTATACATTAACTTTAATATTTTATTTAACTCATTTTATTCCGAGAAATTTAAATTATTCCAATAAACAACAAAATTTAATAATCCCTGATACAAAAGGTACAATTAATAAAATTTACTTTTATTTAATTAATTAATTTATTTTAAATTTTCATTTACATTACTTATATCTAATATTTATTTAATTTTTTTAATACTTCAACAATTCAAAAACTAACTCTATTTAATTTTTTATTATAATTTTATTTAATTAAAATAATCACACACACAAATCATATTAAATTTTTCATAAATATTTAAATTTAATTTTTTTTTAATTTTAATAAATCATATTAAATCATTAATCTTTTCAATGTAAATGAAATATTTTTAAATAAACTAAAATTTTTTTTTATTTTAAATACATTTTCCAATATATTTACTTTGTTACGACTTTTCTTACAAATCATAATTAATAAGAACGACGGGCAATTTGTACATAATTTAAATATAATTCAACTTATAAATTTTTATAAATTTACATTTAAATCCTTTTTAAATAATAAATTTAAATATAATTTACAAAAAAAAATATTTTTCAATATAACTCATCTAAATCTTAATAATTCTACATTTTGATTTGAATTTAATTTATAATATAAATTTATAATTAAAATCTCTTAATTTAATTTTCAACAATATATAAAATATTTATATTAAGTTAATCCATTTGTGGATTATCAAATTAATCAACAAGTTTTTCTAATATAATAAATTACCGCCAAATTTTTTATTTTTAATGCTTTACATTTAATATTTAATTAATTTTATTTTTATTTAAATAATAGGGTATCTAATCCTAATTTCTTTTTAAACTTAATTAGAAATAAATTTTCCAAAATAAATTTTTTTTATTAACTAAAATTATTACATTTCACTATAAATAAAATTAAAAAAAAAATATTTAAATCTTCTTTTTATATTCTTTAAATTATTAAAATTATTTATTCTTATCATCAGTTTAACCGCAATTGCTGGCACCTAAATTTATTAATAATATAAATAAAATTATCTATTATAATTTTTATTAAAATAATTATTTTAAATATTAATAAATCATTAAAAATTATTTAAATTTTAAAAATTTTTTTATAAAAATTTATTTATATTCAAATTTTATAATTATTTATAGAAAAAAATTATTTCCCTACCTTATTCACTAATTTATCATATTTATCTAATTCATTTATTTTTTAATCAATATATAATTTAAATTAATATTAAATTTAATAAACATTTAATTTATATATTGACTAAAAAATAAATATGACATTTCCTACCACATTCACTAATTTATCATATTTATCTAATTATTTATTTTTTATTTATTTATAAATACATTTTATAAATAAGTAAAATATTATACAGACAATTTATTACATAAATTTTTTTATAAATATAATAAATTATTTATTATATATATTTTTATTTAATTATTTATATAATAATTATATTTTAATATAAATTACGCACACGGATAAGAAATATTTTACATTTGCTCATCCCATATAAAAATATAAAAGTAATGGAAATTAAATTTTACATTAATTTATACTAGTATTATGAGGTAGTTAATACATGAAAATCATATAAGATGAATTCTGTACATCGATTAGCATAATATGATTACAAGTCAATAAATGATTTTGCTAATATATTATTTTGAATAAAAATTAAAAAAATATAAAAACAAAAAGAATGAAATTAATAAATTTTCTTCATTCTTTGTTTTCTTCTTCTATTAATTATTTTTTCTATTATTTGAATAAAAGATGTATCGTGTGTAATAGATTAAATAGATAGATAATTTATATAAATATATAATTATACGTTTTGAAATATTATATATATATATATATATATATATATATATATATTAATTTCAATATATACATATATATAATTATTATTTATCTATTACATACGATACGCCTTTTATTCAAATAATAGAAAAATAATAGAAAAAATAATAGAAAAAAACAAAGAATGAATAAAATTTATTCATTTTATTTTTATTTGTTTTTATAAAATTTTTATTCAAAATAATATATTAGCAAAATCATTTATTGCGACTTGTAATCATAATATTACGCTAATCGATGTACAGCATTTATCTTATAAGATTTCCATATGTGTTACTACCTCACAATACTATTATAAATAAATGTGAAATTTAATTTGCATTACTTTTATATTTTTATATATAATGAGCAGATGTAAAATATTTCTCATTCGTGTGCGTAATATATTGGTTTTTGTATTTATACTGATTTTACACATATCAAATGCAAGAGAGACAAAGATAGAATGATACTCTCTCCTTGTCAAGCTGTCAGTATGTTACCACGAAAATTTCCCCATGAGTATAGATCTAGTGAGATTTGTTCATCCCAAATATTACATAAAAAGAAGTTACGTAGCTTCGTGAAATATTTTTTAATATATTTTTATATAATAAAGCAAGGAGACAAAGAGTCAAATTTTGCATTATTGCTCTTAAAAATTTATAATAAATTAAATACGATCTCGTGGCTAACCCAACCTTACCCGCTGCTAGCTGCGCATCTCCCCAAGTTATATTATGAATTTTATATTTTTTTTTTTCCAAAAAATCGATCTTTGTCTCCCTGCGGACAATCCTACTGATTAAGAATATCGTAAATTTAATAAGATTTATTAAGTATTTTGGCTAATATCTGGGATGAACGAATCCGTAATTCCCGGCCGGCCGATAGGCGTCTCCACCATGACGCCTGTCGACCCTTAATCGTTATTTATTTGTTAATCACAGCGCCTATAGATATTAATAATTTCTCGCTTATAAACGATGAAGTTTTACGAGATCAAGAGACACGGTAGTGTCTCGCGCCCAATTTGCGGCATAGCCGAATAAAAAGAGCGAGGCACACCGTGTATCTTTACGCGAAGCGGAGACTTGAGTCTATTATAAATTTCGAATGCTCAATAACGGCTGAAGCAATTGAGTTTATACTAGACTTAATCGATAGTTCGAATATATAATAAAAGTGACTTTATTTCTGCTCTATGTGCTTTGTAAGCGGAAATATTTTAATGCAAAGTCTCAAAGTGAAAATTTTCATTTAAGAAACGTTCACGTCGTCAACGTTCACGGAAGTCACCAATGTGCATGCGCGATTCTTGTACAGTTCCAACTTTTGATACAAGGGTGTGCTATAGTAGCGTTTCGTGATTATTACGTACGATGTGTTAATAATATTGACAGGTGTGAGGTTATGTTGGTTAGAGCTGCGGTCCGAAATGCGCTCACAGTGCTAAAAGTATCAGTCTATCTTCGTTTGATATTCGTATACATACACATTGACGGGGTTATATTATAATATATCAAATAAAATAATAGATATACATATATGTATGTATACACATTGATGTCTTGACATGTACACACATAACAGGTACGTGTCTTTTTTTTAATAATCCCTTTATAAAAAAGGGATGTTAACTGTGTGAATTCAATTTGTATCGAAGTTTTGAAACCTTTTCCGCGATGCTGATTGGTTGTCTCGATTCGCGTTGTGCGTTATATTTTATATTTGTAACATTGAGCGGCTGTCATCGCAAGGGTTAATAGTTTGACAGTTGTGAAGATTTTATATAAATATATTAAGATATATTAATTACTTTTCGTTCTACATTCGTGCGCGTAATCGTACATTTGCTGTTATTCAACCTAATGCTATTGCCAAGAGGACAGCAGAACAGAATGTAAGTAAGCGAATTTCTATTATATACAAATTTATTCGCCGAATTTGTATTATGTACATAATTTTAATTCACCGAATTTCTCTCTATTGATAATAGATAATAAATAATAAATAATAATAATATATAATATATAATAATAATATATAATAATAATAAATTATACATTGTCAGCATGCAATTGTTTATTCATATCAAATTATCGTCTTTTGTATTTTTGTCGCAAATTCGAAATTTCGCGAATGCATCGCAGATAAATGCATATTTTTATCACAAAGGAGAGAGAGAGAGAGAGAAAGAGAGAGAGAGAGAGGGGAGAGAACTATTTCCATTTCTATTACATAATGCTACGAGAATAAAAAGAGATGTATAAGAATATTCTTTTAGTTTGCAATATATTCTTTTTTTCGTATGTATGTATTGATTTCGTTTTAATTTTTTCTGTTTTACAACGAAATTTTGTTCATTTTCTTACAATTTTTAAAATGAATTTTGCAATTTGCAAGAAAAATAAGAGATCAACACAGATACATGAGAAAAAAGATATGTATTGTAAACTAAATTAAAAGAATATTTTTATACAGAGAAAAAATTATATTAAACAGACACTATGATCATTTAGTTTACCATGTACTTTAAATTAACAGGTATTGTTTAACACTTTATTATATGTTGTGACGTGACAAATTGAAATTGTCCGTCACAAGGGCTGAATGGCCCGATCGGGGGAGGGCACGGGACCTCTGCTCTCCCGAGACAGTGAGAGTGAGAGAGAGAGCGTGCGTGCGAAAAGCGCGGGACCGGACGCGATCCCGCTGCTACGCGTTTTCGTATATTTTTTGTTGAGAGTTAGGATTATTGCGGCGGCAGACAGGATGTGCGACGAGTCTCAGCCGAGAGAGAAACCCTGGAGGAGAAATAGGAAGGCATAGGAAGCAGGACGACGGGGACCCCTTTCGTCAGGGACACGCCCGGTAAGCCCAAGATTCCAAATTTCTTCACCGAACATCCGACAACGGAGTAGGTGCCACTGCCTAAAAATTTGTACCTTCCAGGAGCGAGCAGGGGATGGCCACTCGGGTGCAACAAGCACCCGAGTCCCCGCATACGGAGCGCCGGCAGGAGAGCTGCCGCCCCCGGGACATCCGGAATCCCGAAGGAGAGCAAGGAGCGGCCCTGCCGTGCGCTGCCGCGACGGCCGAAAAACCCAAAGGAATTTTGTTTTCGTGACTTGCTATTTCTCACGTGTATTCTGCGTGATTGGTGAGAACAATAGCCATAAGTACGCTTGCCGGGAAGTGCTGCCTCTCCGGCTTCATGCGAGTTATTATCGATTTGATTATCGACTACTGTCACGAGATCTATTGAATCCGCAACAGAATCTTTTTAGCACAAATGCAGGTATTGTAAATGGCTGTTCCAATTTTCTACTAATTTTGTCGAGCATGAATGCTTCAAGCATTATGTGGAAGATAAGGATCGCATCGTTGTAGATGAAAATTTTGTTGTGACAATATGTTATAACAGTATGTTTACTACTGTGCGCGACGGAAAGCAGGATAGGAAGGTCGGAAGCGAGACGATAGATAGGCACTACACTCGACACACGCGTATCGTTAACAAAAATATATTTTAACTATTAACAAAAAATACAATTGTTTAACCGCACAGAATTTACCAAAAGATAGCCGAGTCGAACGTATTAGAAATGAATGCAATAAACGAGAGAAAAGCCGGGTCGAAAATAAATTACTGAATGTCCGCAAGCAACGGTAATTAAACGTGAAAAACGAAAAAGACAAGCGATCTTTTTCGTAAAGTATAAGCACACTCTTGACGCGACAAGCAATCGGAAAAGAGCGCCGGGATTACGAGAGAGGAGGTTTATATAGGCCTTATTTTCTGGAATATTCGAGAACATTTTTATTACTCTATCTGTAGGTTGAGGGCGAAAGAACATTTGCTGTAATTACTTACGTTCCCGCAATTCGTAGTTTTGTTATTATTGGGAACTAAATTGTATCTCCTCTCGCGCGACCGCGGTGTTTACAATTATATGTGATTTGACGTAAGCGCTTCCTTTTCGCAGGCGCGGGATATACGTATATCTGTGCGGCCGAGCGCTATTTGAAAATAATATTAATATAAAATTAAGCATGATGCATGTTGCATGTGAATGAAAAGACTGCATGAATTTTAATGCAATAATGTTTTAAGACTTTTCAGCTTTCGTTAGACGTTCGATTTTCGAACAACTACATTCTTTGCATATATTTTGTTGTATCGTTTTATTGTATTATAGTAATTAAATGTATTTATTTATTTAATAATCCAAGAGAATGCAAAGACTGCGGAAGGTCCTACAGATACTTTGGATGAACTTTTGATCGAAGCAGTGAGGGCAAGGAGGGGATTGTACGACTATCGCATACCAGCAAATGAAAGGACCAATTTGCGGAAAAATGCATTGTGAATGAAAGTGTCTAACATTCTAGGAGGTACTATTAATATCTCTTGTGAACACATGCAAATATTTTATACATTATAATTAAATAAATTAAATTAAATTTTTAAGAGCTTTTAATCCAGAGGAGGCAAAGGCCCGTTGAAAATATTTAAGAGATAATTATACTAAAGCGCGTAAAAAGATTAAAGATTATGTTCTTAGTGGATCGGCTGCTAGTGGACAAAAGAAACCCAAATTTAGATTTTATGACATGATGACAATTTTAAACAACTTCCTGGAGACACGGCAGTAAGTTCTTTTTCTTCAATGTGCAAAAATGTGTCACTCTTTTTTGTCAATTTGTCAAGGAAAATAGATATAGAAGACAATTTTTCATGTCCAATACCCTCATGTAGGATGTTATATGTATATATAAACATATATTTATTTCAGGACTGTGAGCTCATTGCCAAACGTTGATGAAAAATATGGAACATTTGAGTCATACGAGGATGATACCAATAGTTTTCCTTCAATGCAGACTACCATTGATGCTTCACCAATACTGACTCCCACTTGTGTTCCTTTACGAACGCCTACACCAACTCTCATTCCTCCAAGGACCTCAATATCTAGAAGCGTTTCTCCACCAACGCTATTCAGTACTTTGCGAATATTGGCGACAAATGTGAAAAGTTAGTATATTTTATATAAAACACAATATACCGATCTAATATTCTTAATATTCTTATCATTAGTATATTTTGCTTCAGTTTCCTTTGATGATAATAACTACTGTAAAACGTATTTGGAATTTTAAAAAAATATATTATTAGAATAAAAATTTAAGTTAAGAATAAAATAGTTCATTTACAATGTAAAGATTATTAATAATTTAATTTAAATGTTAAAGAGTTTAACACGGCTCTGTAATATAAATATAATTTAAAGTGTAAGACAGGCAATAAGAGTCAATCGCGGAAGACAGTGCGTTATCCTAACGAAACTAAATTTTCTTGTTAGAATTAAATATCTTGTGCACAGATATTTAATTCTAACGAGAAAATTTAGTTTCGTTAGGATAACGCACTGTTTTCCGCAATTGGCTCTTATTGCCTGTCTTACACTTTAAATTATATTTATATTACAGAGCCGTGTTAAACTCTTAACTTATACACGCTGGCTGAAAAAGCGTTTGTTTATCAACATTATTATATATAACAGAGAAAAGTATAGAATTGAAAGGATCTGAATAGCTCAGTTGGAAGAGCAGTCGCCCGGCAAACGAAAGGTCTCGGGTTCGATTCCCAATTCAGCGACTTTCGGATCTATATTTTTCTCTTGCATTTATTTATTTCCGTAGGGGGGTTAAAGGATTATTGAAATTAAATCTCAAAAATGAGATTATTTCATATTTTAAAATCTTGGCCGTGACCAAGTAACATTTGGTGCCTTGTGCACAGATATTTAATTCTAACGAGAAAATTTAGTTTCGTTAGGATAACGCACTGTCTCCCGCGATTGGCTCTTATTGCCTGTTTTACACTTTTAATTATATTAAATATTAAAATTTTAATAAATTAAAAATAAAAAATATAATAAATATAATAATTGACAAATTTTAATAAAATGTACATTATTTACCAAACAATATAATCATTGTACATTATTTATGTTTCAGAGCAAAAGACCGATGTCTTGCAAACAGCTTTAATAGAAGCTTTAAAAGAACTAACAACGCAAACTGTTGATCCGCTAGATGGGTTTTTAGCACGGTTGGGAGAAGGTATGCGAAGGTTGCCATATCGCCAGAGAGCTCACCTCGAAATACGATTTTTGACATTGCTCGGTGAAGCAGAAGATCTTTGTGGTATCAATATTGACTAAAAGATTTTTATTTTTATTTCGCTAAGCTGGATGCAGTGATTTTTGACACGTCTCGCATTTCTTGATATTCTTTGCAATGATCCATGCGTAACTCTAAGTTAACATTGTTAAGAAAGTTTGTTACATTTTTTATTTTGAAGTTAAATATGAATTAGTTTATTTACCCACATTACGCTTATATTGATATAAAAAAGTTGGATATTTTAATATGTTTACATATGTGTGCATTTGCGAGAAGATGAGTGAAAATTGCAACAATGTAAAACAGTGTGCATTTGCGAGAAGATGAGTAAAAATTGAAACAATGTAAAACAGTATTGTGATCTATGTGATAATCTAATGATGTTGAGATAATATCGGTTAAACAAATGCAAGTTTAAAATCTTGTACATAAAATTATAACTTGATATAACTATAACTTACATATAACTATAATTTACATGTACAATGACAATAATTCGTTACATTTTTTATTTTGAAGTTAAATATGAATTAGTTTATTTACACACATTACGCTTATATGTACAATGTACAATGTATAATTCATGTATTTTTACAACCAGTAACAAATATGTAACAATTCATGTATTTTTACAACCAGTAACAGATATGGAGAACATGTAGAATACAATTTTGTAGAACATACGATAAAGTGACATATGGCAAACTGTAAAAATTGAGACTTATTCACACATTTGAAGCAACGAACTAATTGTAACATCTTTTTTACCATGATTAGCATCATATACCGATTCGATAACTTTTTTGTCAATGTTTGGAAACATTTCTGCAATCTGTAAAATATGATTACAATTATGTGAACATAACAAAAAGAACATTTATTGAGATATGCATTAAATACCTGCTTCAATTCGATCTCAGCATTTGGCAAAGAACTTGGTGCAACTGTTGGTGTAGCAACAGCTGGAGGTGGTATATAAACATTTAGCGGGGCATACGGCACGCCGAACATCGGCGTTGCAGAAGGAACCATCATTATCGAGGAACTCATGTATGGGTAACACTTATTCTACAACAGATTAGCATTTAATGAAAAAAAACAATAAAATTTCTGAAGATAAAATAATTTCTTAACAAAGTACTATCCCCTCAGGGACACTGCGGATTCATCCTTGCAGTGTACCGGGCAGTCGCGAGCCCGAGGTACCCGAGCTGGAGTGTGTGGTGATGGATGAACGAGGTGTGATGGGTGTGCAGACCTTTAAAAGGACTTGTCCACTGCACTAGGTGAAGAAAAACACTGACTTAACACCCGGGGAGGGGGCCCCGTTAGCTGTGTAAGGCAACCTCCTAAGGGGAAGGAAAACCCCCGACAGAAAAAACCATTTTCTTTATTGCAGATGATGGAGTCCGATAAAGAAGAGAACGTCCTGGGTTCGGGTACCAGGAACCGGCGTGGGGAGGGGGGGGTGTAAACCTGGCTCCCCCTCGTCGACATTGTACGACAGATCGTCCATGGATTTGCCGGCAGGGTCCGTGGATTGGAATACGACAGCGCCGAGGAACAAGCTGGAGAGTGTTGTGGAAGACCAGCTAATCAGGTTGGCCATAGCTTGGGAGGACTTGGGTGGGGGTGTTGATCCGAGGGATCTTGCGATCGACATCCATCGAGTCCTCCTAGACGGGAAAGTGCGTGCGTTTCGGCATCGTATTGGCATGTACACGACTCTGACAAGATATGTTTAGAGTTTTTTTAGGAAGTGCTCGCGTGGTGCCACGGAGTTTTGTTGTCGACACGAGTGTGTGAAGCCCCATGACTCTATTGAGCTTAGTGACACTGACTCTGAAGAGAGTAGTCCCGGTGAATCGGTGAGTGACTATTCGCAGCTTCACTGGTCGCCGGAAAAAGTTCGTAGTGTCAGTGATGATGAGGGTGCAGTAGGAGGCCAATCCTTCATCACAATTTCGTCGCCAAGTTCTCCGGAAGATGACATGAGGGATGTCGATTTTAAGTTGGACAAGCAATTGCTGACTGGTAGGAAGCAGTATCCAGCAAAAAAGTCAGGTACGTGCACAAAACCGCGTGTTGAGACTAGAGGTCGCCCTAAGAAGACGGGGGATTATGCTGGTTTAGCGGAGACCAAAGAACGTCTAAATAAGGCTAAAGAACGGGAGTTAATACTTATGGACGTAGAGAGAATTTTGGACCCTTCCATCAGTCCAACTTTAACAGCTGTTGGTAGGGAAAATATTCCCTTAGATGAAGTTTTCTGTTCGACCCTCCAGAGGGCTACTATTTTGGAGCTTAGGAGAACGGGTGCAGTATTTGCTTTTCAAGTTGAGAAGTCGGCCGGGGTTCATGGACTTGATGATCTCGTGTCAAGGGAACTCCGGATTGCTTCAATGAGATTTGGGAGCATTCTTGACGAGTTTGTAAATAGGGTTTCGAAGGATTCGGATCCTCAAACGGAGAAGTTACGGAGTGAGAATCAGGGGTTGAGAGGTAGGATCTCGGCCCTTGAATGCGAGGTAGACCGTGTGAACGGCGAGCTTAATGCTCTCAGGGCTTTTTTACCTGAGATTGAGCAGAGGACGTTCTATTCAGACGTCCTGCAGGCGAATCATGGACGTCGCATTGGAGAATCCTCGCCTGGGATGATGGAGTCTCCTCCTCAAGCTTTGCCTGTGGAGGATCGTCCACTGGTAATGTCGGATGTGTCTGCATTGCTAGATCGCAGACTTATAGAGCTGCGATACAATATCGTTTCCTCAGTTGTGACCTCATTAAGGTCAGAGTTTGCGGGGGGTGCTCTGGCTCCTCCTCCTGGAGGATCTCCTGAGGTTCTGCTCCAGTCAAACTTAGGTGGTGCATCTTCTGCAATTGCTGCCCCTGAGCTTGGGGGCTCTGCCGCTTCTACCCCTGTGGAAGCTCTGGCGGATGCCCCTGTTCCTGGGGTTGTACAAAGGAGTAAACGTCGTCGTCGTGGGAAACCTTCTGGTGGAGGCGCTCCTTCTCTTATGGGTGCTTCTGCTCGTAAGGATAAGGGTGGTCGTCCTTCTCGTCCTCCCTCTGCTGCGTCTGTAATTTCGTTGACGGTCGGGGGGCGGGATGCGGAGCGGGAGAAGACATATGCCTCTGTTTTAGGCGAAGCTAAGTCAGCGGTGAATTTACCCAGGCTGGGTATCAGTGATATGCGGTTGCGTCGTGGTGTGACGGGCAGCATTTTGCTGACCGTTCGTGGTAGAAATGCAGAAGCTAAGGCGGATGCTTTGGCATCGGAGCTTCAGGGTGTTGCTTTTTCTGCGAAAGGTGGTGTAAGGGTAGTTCATCCCACTCGCACATCGGAAGTGCGTTTAAGAGGTTTGATGACCGGTCTCACTAAAGAGGAGATTCTTAGAGAGGTTGCTCGTACGGGAGAATGTAATGTCACGGATTTGAAATCGGGTGATATTAGAAGGTCGTCCAGATCGGACTTTGAGACATTGTGGATACGATGTCCGGTCAAGGTAGCACGCAGATTGGCGGTAGCGGGTAGTATTAGGCAGGGGGGAGATGGTGGGGCTTGACGGTTGTCCCGTTGGCCCGGCGCCCCCTCTAGTGTTTTAAGTGCCATGCCTTTAGTCACTCGGCCAATAGATGTGGCTCAGTGCTGGACTATAGCAATGCATGCTTCAGATGTGGTGAGCGGGGGCATGTGGCTGCTGGATGTGTGGCGCCGCCTTCTTGCTCTTCGTGTGCGAGAGCTGGTAAGCCGGCTAAGCATCGTGCTGGGTCGAGTGCATGCGCGAAAAGTTTATCCCTCCGCGCAAGTTAGAGGCGTGTAGGGAGAATACACCCCCCAGTCGGGTGATTGGATCTCCGGAGGAGGAGCCTATGATGACGAGTCCGGTTCTGAGAACTTGAGGGAAGGGGGCGGGGGCAGTGGGCTCCGTCGAAGGGCGTGATCACTGTTTCCCTGTGTCTCCCCGAATTGATGTAGTATATGTTTAACGTGGCTGTCTGTAGGTAGCGGTGTTGAGTGGTTGAGTTTCGGGGGTGTTACTGACGTAAGGTGACTCCCCGATCTCTCCACTCGCGCCAAGTTAATGTTCGTAACTAGTTTGTCCTAGAATATTGTGGTTATGGGGGTTGCGGCCTGCATTTTGTCTTCTTAATCGGAGGCCGGCAGGTCTGATTACGCGCTCTGTTAAATTGTCTTTGATGTTGTCTACGTCTTTGTCCGTGGTCCATAGGAGGAAGGAACGTTCTCCTTCTACCTTATTTGTGGTCGGCCATAAAGCCTTTCAGCTGTGAACTCCTTAGAGGGCTGGGCCTGTGGCCCTTACTTGGTCTCTGCCGTGGATTGTGTACATGTACTGTGCACGTTGAGTTGGTGACATCCTGTGACGTTTATGTGTGGGGGTGGACAGTCGCGATCGTCTCACTAACCGGGTCGGCAGGGAGAGGGGTGAGGGTCCCGATCCCATTGCACGTCGGCCCCGGGAAGTCCGGGGAGAGCTAGTAGCCCGGCTTCCTCCGATGCCCTTTTGGACAAGGGAATGTCCTCTCCGGGGGGATACCGGTAGTATCTTCTCGGGGGATGTGTCCTTTTCAGGACGCCGGTCGGGTGTCCACCGTGAAGTTATGCGAGAGCGGTTCCGCGGTGGATAATACCCATATGACCAAGGGCTTCAGTCAGGTTTTAGGTCGGTCCCCCGTCCGATAATCCCTCGGGATAGGACGGAAATCCACCACGAAGCCTCCTGGCCTCAAGGGTCAGGATGGCAAAGTTTGGTCAAGCAAATTTCCTGACTTAAAAAAAAAAAAAAAAAACAAAGTACTATAGTAAATATCATAAACATGCAGACTACAATGGTAGTTAAATTCTACATTTAAACTATATAATTTAAGACAATTTGTAATTTTTTAAACATAAAAAATGATATAAACATAATTAATCAGGTAAATAATATTCATTGTTTGTATTGTGTAACTAAAAACTAAATTGATCATGCCTTCCTGATTTTCTCCCTGTTTTCCACTAAGCATATACCAATCTTCGTGCGTCTCTCCCTTTTGAAAAACTTGCGGCGGAATTTCTATGTGACCCCATGCAATCAATTCATCCATCATGAAGGAACACTCATCATAAATTCGCATATACACATTTACAAAAGAAACCCATACTTTTTTCAATTTTTTGTAATTTAATTAAAAGAAATTATTGTACTCATAATTATTATAGTAAAGAGATGTTGAAATTTCAAAATATTTTTAAAAAATATTACAATATATAGTAGGTATACTAGGGGGGTTCTGGATCAGGGGCAATGAGGGGGAGTAAGGGCCGGGGGGGGTCTTATCAGCAGATAAGCTTATCTTATCAGCTCAGGTTACTTGATAAGGGGCTCAGGTTACCTGATATGTTTATAAACAAAAGATAAACATTCCAGCGATATCTATTACAAGATAAGATAAGTTTGTAAGATATCTATTACAAGATAAGATAAGTTTGTAAGATATCTATTATAAAATAAGCGGCATCTTTGTAAGATAATTATTACAAAATAAGCGGCATCTTTGTAAGATAAGCTTGTAAGATATCTAAATTTTTTCTGAAAATCCAAGATAAGATAAGGTAAAAATTCTGGTTAATCAAATTCTGCGCATTATTAAGAGCTGCCGCCGATTCTTTGGTGAGCGCCGACAATTAGATATTTATTATTACAGCGATATCTATTACCCAAGATAAGGTAAAAAATTCTGCGAATTATTAAGAACAAAAGGGCTGCCGCAGGCTTGAGCGCCGATGATCAAGGGGTTGATACGTGATCTATACGTATATTCTAAGAAATATCAGCGGCGAAAGTATGGGGGCGAACAAGTTGCGACATGTCTTCGCAGGTTGTGACGGACGGGGTACCTATGTATTTCGGAGAATTATCAGCGGGTAGATATCGCAAATATTTCTTGCGAATTAACAATCGTTGAAGAACAAAGGGTTGATCGGGATATATAATGAGGACTGATGCAGCTGCCGGGCCATAGCACGGTACCACTGGCGAGCGCACGCTCTCTTCATTCGGAGTGCATAAAAAAAAAAAAAGTTTAGTGATCACAAGCAGTTATTTCTGTGCAGTACAAGTGAATTTTTTACAAAAAAATGGAGAGCGCGGAGAATGTTGAGTGTGACCTGTTGGAGCGTTCCCGCCAAGTCGCCACCTAGAACGAATATTTCGGATGGCTGCAAGAGTGCGAAGAGTTTATCGAAGAGCTGGAAGAACGCAGCCGTATCAAGCGTCCGCGTCTCTCGATTGGACATAGACAATCTCTGGTGGCGAGAATAGCGCGACTCGAGGGTGCAAAGATGCGCTTGCAGAGACGATATGTCGGTGAATCCATGCCTGGATTCAGTGGCGGCGGCGGTGGTGGATCCACGCCTGGATTCAGTGGCGGCGGCGACAATAACGCGCAAAGACTCGTTTGGCGCTAGATCGATACGGCGTTCGATAGCCATATACTGACCGATGCGGTAATTAACGCAGACTATATCGAACCGCGTCAATTTTTGGAAAATGCCGCAGACATTGTAGTCGAGAACGTGGAAAATGTGCTGCAGAGACACGCCAGTGTGGAAGTGAACACCGTTTTCAACGGCGAGTTTGTGTCCAAGGACAAGCGCGCCAATAAAAATATCAACACGAGAAACTTTGAACTCTTTCGCACATCTGATGTGCGCGAGTGGTACGAGCGCCGCGTAATCGAGCCCACGCTAGCATTGCTAGAAGAGTTCCAGGAACGCGATAGCGGCTGGGCATTGTCGCGGATAATCGATTTGACAGTGAATATCAACAAGTACAATCCAATGCGCGCGGGATGCAATGTCAAATTACCGCGAAAAATTGTGGTAAAAAAAACGGTGATTAATGTGCGTTTAGCGGGCAATGCGTGTTTCGCATGGTCAGTGGTGGCCGCTCTGTACCCCGCTGATATACATGTGGATCGGGAATCCTCCTATCCGCATTACACCACAGTGCTGAATCTCTAAAACATTGAGTTTCCAGTGACTGTGAATCAAATTAAAAAATTTGAACTTACAAACGACAAATCCGTAAACGTGTACATCATCGAGAACGAGAACATCGTCCCGCTACGTCTTTCGGGAAAAAAGAAAGACAGACACATCAATCTGCTGTACGTGGAGGACGAACACGGAGTGGGGCATTTTGTTTTGATAAAAAATCTGTCTCGCCTCGTGAGCTCACAACTGAGCAAAAAGAAATAAAAAAATTTATATGCGATTGGTAAGTATATATATTTATTAAACTTAAATTATATTTATAAAATGATTTTAATTAAAATGTTTAATATTTACAGATGTTTACACTATTTCGGAGCGGCGGATAAATTGCAGGCGCATACGGCAGATTGCGGGAAACTGAACGACTGCGCTATCCGGTTGCCGAGCGACAATGACAAGTGGCTCAGTTTCGACAACTACACGAAGGAGCGGCTTCCGTTTGTGGTGTACGCCGACCTCAAGTGTGTTTTAGTAAAGACCGAAGATGCCAAAAATTATCAACACCATCAAGTGTGCAGCATCGCGTATTCCGTACAGTGTTCGTACGACAGTTCGTTGTCCGCGTACAATTCCCACCGTAGTGTCGATTGCGTCGCGTGGTTCGCCGAACAGCTTAAAAATTTAGCAATTCGCGTAAAAAATATTTAAACAACCAATGTCCCCATGGTAAATTTAACGCCTGACAAGTGGTTAAAATTTCACACTGCGACGCATTGTCACATTTGTGAGAAACCGTTTAACAAAGACGATACACGCGTCCGCGATCATTGCCACCTCACCGGGCGGTACAGGGGTCCCGCACACTCAAATTGTAATTTAAATTACAAAGAATCATTTTGTATTCCTATAGTCTTTCATAATTTATCAGGTTATAACGCGCATTTCATTATCGAGGACATAGCCACAGCGTTCGAAGGGGAAATTGAATTACTGCCGATAACAAAGGAAAAATATATATCATTCTCGAAAACTGTTAAATTGACGCAAGACAATAATTCGAAAAATTATATCAAATTACGCTTTATCAATTTGTATAAGTTTCTCAGCGCTAGTCTTGACAAATTAGCGTCATTTTTGGATAAAGATAAATTAAAAATTTTACATTCGGAATATCAAAATTTATCGACAAATACGTTCAATTTATTGACACAGAAGGGTGTTTTTCCGTACGAATACATAGACTGCGTGGACAGATTACAAGACACATGTTTACCATCGCGCGACTCATTTTACAGTTCCCTGACCGGCGACACGAGAGTGATTACGCGCACGCCGAGAATGTCTGGAGCCGATTCTCTCTTCGAACGCTAGGCGAATATAGCGATTTATATTTAAAAATTGATGTCTTGTTATTGGCCGATATATTTGAAAATTTTCGCGACAGTTGTATAAAAAGTTATGGACTCGATCCCGCGTATTATTATACTCTCCTTAGATATATATGGGATGCCATGTTAAAACATACAAATATAAAATTTGAATTATTAACAGACATTGACATGGTAATGTTTGTCGAACGAGGTATACGCGGCGGCCTTAGTCAATGTTTAGGTCGATACGCACAGGCTAATAACAAGTACATGCAATCGTACGACCCATCGAAACCTTCATCTTATCTCATGTATTTTGATGTAAATAATTTGTACGGATGGGCAATGTGTCAACCAATGCCGTATGCCGATTTTCGGTGGGTCGACGATGTATCGAATTTTGATATATCATCTATCGCATTCGATTCACCTATAGGCTATGTTCTCGAAATAGATTTAGAGTATCCGCAGCATCTTCATGACGCACACATTGACCTACCGTTTTGCCCGACGCGCGATAAGTCGCCCGGCAAGCGGGAGTATAAACTCCTCGCAACGCTTTACGATAAGAAGCGCTACGTAATACACTATCGTAGTCTGCAGCAGTGCACGTGCCACGGGCTACGCATAACAAAAATATACCGCATACTACAATTCACGCAGTCAGCGTGGCTTCAAAAATACATCGAACTCAACACACAGTTTAGAACACAAGCGAAAAACGATTTTGAAAAAAATTTATATAAATTGATGAATAATGCGGTATTCGGTAAGACGATGGAAAATGTGCGCAATCATGTGGATGTAAAATTATTAACAAAATGGACGGACGGTACGGTGCGGAGGCAATGATCGCGAAACCAAATTTTCATAGTACAAGCATATTTTTGGAACAATTAGTTGCCATAGAATTACGCAAATTCGAAGTTAAATTCTACAAACCAATCTACGTCGGTATGTGCATACTCGACATATCAAAAGTATGTCTTTATGAATTTCACCACGAATACATGTCACCGCTCTATCGTGACAATTGTAGAGTAATGTACACCGACACGGACAGTTTAATATATCAAATTAAATGCCAGGATGTCTATGAAAATTTAAAACGCGATATCGCTCGATTCGATTCCAGCGATTACGCTGTGAATAATGTGTACGGCGATTAAAAAGGTGCCGGGTCTGATGAAAGATGAGAATAACGGTGCGATAATGACCGAATTCGTCGGGCTTAGAGCAAAAATGTATGCTTTGCGGGTGGACGGTAAAAAGGACACTAAAAAGGCAAAAGGTGTCAAAAGTAACGTCGTAGCGCGTAGTATAACATTCGACAATTATACGCACTGTCTTAATGAAGAAATTGAAATGACGTGTCAGCAGTTAAGTATAAGATCGAAATTGCATAAAGTGTATACCATCAACGAGACAAAAATTGCTCTAAGTCCCTACGACGACAAGCGGTATGTCGTACCTGAGTCGACCAACACTTTGCCGTGGGGACATTATCGAATACCGTTGTAAATTATATTTATTATATTTATTATATTTATTATATTTATTATATTTATTATATTTATTATATTTATTATATTTATTATATTTATTATATTTATTATATTTATTATATTTATTATATTTTTTATATTTATTATATTTATTATATTTTTTATATTTATTATATTTATTATATTTATTATATTTATTATATTTATACTATATTGTAAGGATGTATTAATGAGAATTATATATATTTTTTGTTATATATATATATATATATTTATAAGAGTTTTAACAAGGCTCTGTAATATAAATATAAATTTAACGTATAAGACGGGCAACAAGAGCCAAATCGCGGATGACAATGCGTTATCCTAACGAAACTAAATAATTTTCCGTTAGAATTAAATACCGGTGCGCAAGGCACCAAATTTTACTTGGACACGGCCAAGATTTTAAATATGAAATAATCTCATATTTGAGATTTTAATTTCAATACCCCCTTTAACCCCCCTACGGAAAATAAATAAATGAATGCAAGAGAAAAATATAGATCCGAAAATCGCTGAATCGGGAATCGAACCCGAGACCTTTCGCTTGCCGGGCGACTGCTCTTCCAGCTGAGCTATTCAGATCCCTTCGATTCTATACTTTTCTCTGTTATATATATTAATGTTGGTAAACAAACGCATTTTTTAAGCCAGCGTGTATCAATATAAGAGTTTTAACAAGGCTCTGTAATATAAATATAAATTTAACGTATAAGACGGGCAACAAGAGCCAAATCGCGGATGACAATGCGTTATCCTAACGAAACGTGCGATTGAAATCGCTCGACGACCGACGCCTTCAATACCGAATATGTAGAATAGTGATTAATGTTTTCGCATAAGTTGTTGCACATTGGCGTTGTAAAATTCCTTCCCGTTATCAGTTTGCATGTTTTTCGGGCATCTCTTGCTATGTCAAATTATCTTGGCGATTGCGTCATCTGTCTCGCTTCCTCCTTTACTCTTGAGTGGTACAGCCCACGCATACTTGCTCAACACATCGATGGCGGTGAGTATGTAGTGGTAACCTCTGTTAAAACGGAAGTACAGACGCATCTCGACATGTCGGCTTGCCACAGATCATCGTATCCTCGCACTATGGCATGTTTTCGAGGGAAATTTTTTCTCGCTGACGCATGCAACTCGTTTACCAACTGCCGTCTCTCCAAACTATGTTGCTCGTTGTTATTTTCACTATTCATTCTCATTCTTTCGGATTCTTTCGCGTTCGTGTCTCGTTCTTTCGGGTTCTTTCGCGTTCGTGCCTCGTTTTTTTCGGGTTCTTTCGGGTTCGTGCATCGTTCTTTCGGGTTCTTTCGGGTTTGTTCTTTCGGGTTCTTTCGCGTTCGTTCACTCACGTCCTTGACAGTTTCGAAAATCGTTCCTGACTCGATCGCAGCCTTTTTCACAGTCGCTTCTGACCCGTTCGAAGCCCGCCCTGGCCCGTTCGCAGCCGTACCTGAGGCGATCGTAGCTTTTAAGTACTTGTTCGTAGCCTCGTTCGCAGCCGCTTCTGACCTGTTTGTAGCCTCGTTCGCAGCAACCGATACGCCGTTCACTGTTAGACTTGTTACTGCAGAGTTCGGCGGTCACAAAACTCTCGTTGCTCATTGTAGATTAGTAGTACGCTGATAATCTTCCTTGTTTGCAACTATTTCTTCTAACCGTTTCTATTAGATAGATATTTCTGAGGTAGTGTTTGGCGCACGCAAAAGTTTTTTTATCACAGTTTCCAACGCTTGTACGTCCTTCTCTAACGCAGCCAACTTCTCATCTAACTCTTTCTGTTGGATCATCAATGTTTTAAAGCACTCTTCCAGGTACAATTTGTTGACGGCATCGGTATCCGCCTCAGGTAGCGCTACACGGCGAATCTTGCGCGATCTTGCGTCATAATCTGTAGCGACGCGACGTAGAGCGTTTTTACGCACACATCTTCTCATCAATGTGTGCCAATAATCGCCGGTTGTATCAATTCTCCTCTCGAATAATTCAAATATATTGATAGACATTTCTTTTGCAATGCTTTGTAAAGTGTCACGCGATGGACTGAATAGATTGCCGGGACCCCGTTTAATTTATAATAATGTCCGCTTCCCGCAGTTCCTCGATGATCGACAGGATCTCGTTGTCGTGCGCGTTGTTGCCGGCTTGGCGCCAAACGTCGAGCAATCGTAGGCGATCTACTAGCTCGTTGGGGTCGTCCCAGTGCACGTAATCAATCTTATTGTCGGTTAGCGTCATAGCGCGAGGCATTCCCATGCCAGATTTTGGGCTCTCCACCTGCGTTAACGGTGCAATTATATATTTGTACTTGTCACCCTTGCTATTCTTCACACGACCTTGCGCATCAAAATTGCGTTTATGCGCGTTTGTCGCCAATAATATGTGTTTGTACTTTTGCAAATCGTCCTCTTGGTAATCAGGTCTTTTCTTGAAGATCAACTCGTACAATCCGGGCGTTCCAATATACCGCGTGTCGCCTATGATTATATTGTCATCTTTGTCAATCGCGAATCGCTTGTTTCCGATGCGCATTTTATTCTCGCCGAAATACACTCCGTATACATTATCAATCTCTGTCTTCTCATCAGCACCGAGAAAGCATCCATGTATTTTTGTCCTAATGGCTCCCAATCCTTTCGCATCATTTGTTGACCTTCCGACGATTTTAATCAGTTTCAAAGGGATATTTCGGACAGGTTCACAGGTTGTGCGCTTTTTGGTGTTAAAGTTATCGGCAGTAAAGCGTCCAATGGCCTCTAAATATCTTGCACATGTTTTCTCTTTTTCGGTGTCTTCTCCTCCTTCTCCTCCTCTTTATATCGCTTGATGGTTTTACGTTTTTTCTTTTTTGGTGTCTCCTCATACCGCGTCTCGATCTTCACACCGCCGTCATCAGTGTTAAGCTCGTTTTTCACCAAAATCGTCGCGTTATCGGCAATCTGTTTTAGCGGTTCGATAATAGATTCAAAGTGAGTCTTGACCGCAATATTGTCATTGATCTTTCCGGTCTTCAGAGCGCGATGTTTCTTGCGGATCGATTCGGCCGTCTTCGCAATTTTCATGGCAACCTTTTCACGCTCGCGAATATTATCAGCCATATCGCCAACAATCCTTCCGGTCGAGAAAACTCTAGAGAGTGCTGCCGACGACTAATGGCTCTGCGGTATCGCGAACTCGTTAAATCCTTTTCTGTATCGCTCGTTCGTAAGCGAGCTGTCCTTGTCTATCACTAGAAATCCATACTTTTGCTGCCAACAAGTACGACATAAATCACTGAAATCCTCATACGACATGTCGGTATTCACGTGATCGTTGTACACGTGCTTCAAATTGGTGGCGTTCTGTTTAAACAGGATTAGCAGGTTCGCGTTGTCGCGTATAAGATGTTTCGGTATTCTCGCGTATGTCTGACAGAGATAGAAGCAGTCGATGTTCGAGTGGCGCCCCATTGAGAAGTACTCTCTTATCGTATTTTGCTTGTCGCATGCCACGTCATCAAAGACAAAAATTGAATTTGGACATGCCTCGCTCGGTAGAATGACGTCACTGTTATTGGAGAATGTAAGGTAGCCGATTTCGTCAATCGGCGTCAATAAATCTTCTAAATAGCGATATTTCGGCTGTTGCAGCGATTTAGAGTACACGTACACGTTCTCAAAACGCACACTGTGCGGACTTTCCAGCAGGCTTATCAACACGTTGGTTTTACCGCAGTTTGAGGGGCTGCAAACGATCGCGCGTATAGTTGTCGGTAGCATCGTACCGTGTTTGCGTACACTTTTGTTCACGCTGCAGCGTACTCTGTCGTCGTAATTCATCACTCGTATCGTCAGAGGTTGTCGCACGAATTTCATTTTCTCACTTCCGATTTGACCTCCAACGTCCGCCTATTTATAGCTGCGCGGACTCGCGCTTTTCTCAGTAATGTCTAGAGATTGCAGCGGATGTCAACGAAAATAGATACAGGTCTATTAAATCGTGCGATAAACGCACTTCCGGTCGAGCTTCATATCTCCGGCTATCAATTTTGCGGTCCGGGAACTGGTTTGGAAAAGCGATTGGCTAGAGGTGATCAAGGCGTCAACCCATTGGACGCGGCGTGCCGTGACGACACGATATAGCGTACTCTCGGAGCAGCGAACTCACCGAGAGACACGCGGCGGATAAGGTACTCGTCGAGAAAGCGAAAACTCGCATCGTCGCGAAAGACTCGAGTCTCGGTGACAGAGAGCCGCGGCGGCAGTTGTCTGGGCAGCGATGAAAGCCAAGACGAAGCTCGACATGGGCTTGAAGACGATAAAGAGGACGAAAAAGAGGAGGATACTTTCGGCAGCGAAACGAGGCGGATTTTTACCGATTTTACCAATGCTGGGCGCGCTTGAATTCTTGGTCAGCGGAGCGGCTGGCGTAGCAAAAGCGGTGAACGACAAAAAAGCCGTGCAACGTCAGTTGCAAGAGATACTACGCCACAATTGCGTCATGAAAGGCCGCGGACTGTATCTCGCCCTTTACAAATATGGACGAGGAGCGAGGACAAAAAAAAACGTCAAAAAAACGTTAAAAATACCAAAAGGTGTAACTACAAATGTGCAATTGCTACAATTTGCAAAACGTATGCACATTCCATATTTTAAAGGTGTATTTATGCGCAATAATTTACCGATAAATGGCGCGCGAGAAAATGAGAGCGGTATCGTCAATCTGGACAGTACAGACGGTTCTGGCACTCATTGGGTGGCGTATGCAAAAAGGGGAAATCGCGCAATCTATTTCGACAGTTTTGGTAATCTTCGACCACCCGAGGAATTGGTGCGATATTTAAGGCCAGTATTCATAGTCAGATCTTATATTTAAGATCGTCTTAAGATCTCGTTCAACCAATCAAATGACGTTATACGGCTATTTGATTGGTTAAACGAGATCTTAAGACGATCTTAAATATAAGATCTGACTATGAATACCGGCCTTAAATGTGCCGAAAGTGGAATACAATTACATCTTATCAAACGTATGATTAGAGTACCTGTGGACAATTGTGCTTGCAGTTTCTCCGAGAGGTTGAATTCTTGCCGCGAATTTAAAGACTGACATTGCGCTATGTAACTCAGTTTTGTCAACATGTCGCTAACACTAACATTGACTGGGAAGAGTAGCGTCATCGCGGCGACCTACTTTCCGCCCATAGATTTGAGCGACACGGACTACGAGCTCGGTCTGACAGATTTTGAAACTTATCACACTATATCAAATGTGATTTCCGCGAATAATAAATTTTACCACGGCAAAGACGACGCGGAAATTACGATTCCCGAGGGATCGTACGAGCTGCAAGCGATACATGAATTTTTGAAACGCGTATTTTCCCGAAAACATAATGCTGTCAGTGATAAAGGTGTCGCCGATGAAGATTACCCAATCGTGCTCCGCGCTAATTACAATACGATGAGAAGCGAGATCAAGTGTGCCTACAAAGTAAACTTTAGCATGCCCAACAACATTGGATCGCTGCTGGGATTCTCGAATCGTATACTGCAACCGCAAAAATGGTACGAATCGGATATGGCAATTAATATTATCAACGTGAACATTATCCGCATAGAGTGTAACGTGACCGCGGGTGCGTACAGCAACGATAAACTCATTCACACGATACACGAATTTTCACCGAGGGTACCACCAGGATATAAGATATCGGAAACACCGACGCAGATCATTTATCTGCCGGTCTTCGTACGGAGCATTACTGATTTAGTGTTACGCGTTGTTGACCAGGAGGGATGATTGCTCGATTGTCGAGGTGAAGAGATAACAGTTAGATTACACGTACGACGGGATGTTGAATAAAGACACAAAGAACACAATCAGGCTAGCAGCAACATCATTCGCTAATATCAAATTAACCGCGAAGAAGAGACTCACCTTGTCAAACGTTGCGTTTTTACAATCTTTGGGATTTGCGGTGCGTGCCATCTGAACAATGACTGAGATTCTCAACATCGAGGAAGAGCCAGTCTTTGACGATCGCATCGTCAAGATTGAGACTCACACATACAACCCGTTTGCCAACACAACATTTGGACACAGCGACGAGATTAGAATACCCATACAACAACAGGATTTATATACGTTTCCTTTACATCGAGGGAGAACTGCTGATAAATCATCCAATTGAGGGATCCAATGTGGCACTGGGAAATAATTGCGTCGCATTCATGTTTGACGAAATTCGCTATGAGCTCGATGGTGTGGAGATTGATTGCAACAGGAATGTGGGAATAACAAGTCTGCTGAAAAACTATGTAACAATGTCATCTAATAGAAGCGTGATTATGCGAAATGCAGGCTGGGATAGCCCGACTACTGTGAATGGATATTTTAATTTTTGTGTGCCGCTGCACATGTTGCTGGGATTTTGCGAGGATTACAAACGCGTGGTTATTAATGCGCGTCATGAGTTGATCTTAATACGAGCGCGCAACGACAATAATTGTCTGTATGGAGATTCTGCACTGGAGCCTGCGATCAACATATTCAAGATACAATGGCGAATCCCACACGTGGTGTTGAGCGAGATTAAGAAGCTGTTGATGCTGCGCGCTCTGGAA